ATTCTTTTCAGGGTACCAGTGCAATGAGCGCCATGAAACGTCATGAACTCCAGAGCCAACAGACCTGGATTTGCCACCTAACTTGGCGTCATAATGTCTGTGTGACCTTGCACAAATTACTGTACCTCAAAGACTGGAGAGCTTTTAAGAGGATTAAACTCAAAAATGCATGTGAATATTATTAGTAATAATAGCAGCCAAGACTTACAGAGCACTATGTGCAAGCACTGTTAAGCACTGAACACCTATGAAGATTACATGGGTTAGCATATACATTAACTTGTTAATTTTAGGGAAGTCTCAGTTGTGTCATTTTCTAGCTGTGTAACCTTGGGGTAGTTTTATAATCTTCATAATAACCCTATGAGATAGGTGCGTTCCTCTCCATCTCACAGATGAACAAAACAAGACACAGTAAAATGGGATCAATCATGTTTACCAATAGCGTTTTAATGAGGACTAAGTAATTTGTCCAAAGTCACACAGCAAACTAATGGCTGGAACTCAAATCCAGGCAGTGTGGCTTAAGTCCAAGATATTAGCCACTATGTTATATTTCTCACAAGATATACGCATGTAAAATTACAAAAATGAATTAGAAGGAAATACATAGCTTGTTGGTACACCTGAACAGTTCCAAATGTTTACACACTGTTCCAAACATCATCCCTCAATGAGTGTGTTACAATGAGGAATTTTATTCACTGTGCTATATCCTGAGCACCTGGAACAGGGCCCAGCATACAGCTGGCACTCAAAAACTTCTAGTTGAATGAGCTGTGAGAAGAACATGGGGAAGAAACATAAGACTGAGGATGGAGGAGGGGGAGAAGGCAACTTCAACTATATCTGCAGTTCTATTTCTTTAATATCCAAAAAGATTTATAACAAATAGACAAAAATGTTAATGTTGAAATATTAGGGTGGTGGGATATGGATGCTTTCTTAGGGTGTTATTTCCCTGTATTTTAACAACTTCTCAAAATAAAAAATAAACAATGAACTCAAAGCATATAACATAGTTGTCCAACAGAGAAACAAAGATTAAGTGACATACTCAAAGTTGGTGAGTAGCAAGTAGCTGAGGAGGGGGCCCCAAATCCAATTTTCTAAGTCTTTCTCTTGCCCCACAGCATGGCACTTCATTCCTCACATTCACACATCAGAAGGCTTTGTACCTACCTGTACAATGCTGCATAATATCGATCTGATATTGTCTGCTGAGAATTCATTACTTGGAAAAGCAACATTAAAGCCTGAACACTGGTATTAAAATTCACAACATGCAACACTTTAAACAGCGTGTCAACCTGCTCCTTCACTTTGTCATCACCAGTCTGGGCATAAGGGTATGCCCTATTCACTCCTGTTAAAAGGGCACTAAGCATTTTTGATTCAATATCTTTTTTCTTGATACAAGTGCGAAAAAAACAAAAATAAAGAGTTATTAATTTGTTAGCCAATTCACTTTCTTCATGGGAGAGGGCCATTTGATTTAAAAAACAAATTGCATAATACTGTGCTTTGGAGCTGATATTTGAGCGAAAGAGCAGCCTTTCCACTTCACCACACACGACGCCTTTCATATTGGGATGTTTACAAAGTAGTGTCTCTAAGAGATGGGAGGCTTTTGTAGCTATCCTGTTCTGAGGGTCTCCCAGTTTATTTACCACCTGCACAAGAAGAGCCTTTTCTTCCTCAGGTTTGTTACAAAGAAGCTCATGAGCCACTGTAAGGGCTCGAGTTTTGGTGGTTACTAATGAATCATGACTTAGAGTTTCTAAGACCTGCACAAATTCAGCCACTAGGTGTTTCAGCTGGTGTTCAAAATACCATAATATCAGCCTTCTGTCTCTTGAGTCCTTGTTCCCACTGGACAACTGTTCTAGTTTGTTGAAAGGATGCTGGTTGAAAATCCGTAGCTTCCGACTGTCTGGCAAAAGGTCTGTAATGAGTAACTCTTTGAAGGTATCCAAAGCCATGAGGCACTGCTGTTTGCTGCCCTTCTTTTTAACAAGGTTCACGAGAGTTTCTACAAACTGGAGTGTGTGAATAGCATCATCCTGAATAAGAAGAATCATGGCTGCCATCCTGTCTCCCAGTGTACCCGATGACACAATTGCCTTCATCCAGGTAGAAGAGGCTCCCTTTTGATTATTCGTTTTATTTTTGAATAAATTGATTTCATGCTCATACAACTTCTGAGCCAAGGTTTTGTATTTAGACACAACCTCTCGAGGCTGGGGTTCCAAAGAATATTCATTGCTATATTCTAGATCATACCATTTGCCTCCAGGCTTGAGTAACAACGTCTGTCTCTCAAAGAATTCAAAGATGTCCTGCTGTTTTTCTTTCTTTGCTTTTGGTGTGGCATTGCTGTTCTCAGCAGAATGTTGTTCTGACTTCTTATTTTTCACCTTACTACTCATCGATGTCCTTCCATTTTCTGCCACATTTTGCTTTTTATTATCTACTTTAGATACTCCTGCTTCTTTTTTGCTAGGATCTTTTTTAGCTGGTTCATCTTCTTCAATTAAGAAAGCTTTTGCATACTTGGCCAAACTAAGATTTTTAATGAACGCTTCCAATTCACCTTGCCGAAGGTCATCAATGGCTCCTTTTTTGCCTCCATCCACCAGTTCCTCATTCTCATCCAAAGTAGCCAGCATAATGTAATCTTGCTGTATAAAAATATCAGATAAAAGTAAATTACAAATCCAAGAGTTTAGTTAAAACTTCAAAAGTTAATATGAAATCTGTATCTTTGCAATCAATTAAAGTGAGTCATCAGGGTATTGCCTGGACTCCCACCATACACCAAAATAAAAACTTGATAGATCAAAGATTAAAATGTGAAAAAATAGAACCATAAAATAATAGAAGGTATAACATAATTAAAAAATAATTTCAGAATAGGGAAAATCCTTCCAAATTTGACATAAAACTCAGGGCCCATAAAGGAAAGGACGGGTAACTGTTCTCTCACATACAAAACATACACAACAATCAAAAGACAAATAAACTGGAAAAAAAATACTGGCAACTCATATCAAAGTAAGTGGGCTTAATGCTTAATGTAACAGTTCCTACACATCAGTTGAAGAAGTAACAAATGACCCAACAGAAAGATATGCAAAGGATATAAACAATTGGTTCATACAGGAAAAAAAGTGGTTCTTTGAAAATATGAAAAGATGCTCAACCTCACTGACATTTAGAGAAATCCAAATTAAAACCACAATGATACATCCAATTTTTAATCTGTCAGATAAGCAAAGATAAAGCTATGACAGGTGGTGTCGGGGAAGGCACTTTCCTACTTGGCTGATAGGAGTGTCAAGAGGCGTGACATCTATGGAGGGCAATCTGTCAACTTCAACCAAAATACAAGACACACATTCTTTGACCCAGCAGTTCCATTTCCACAAATTTAGATTACACATACACTTACAAACGTGGCGGGGAAATATATATTCAAGGCTATTTACTGAAGCATTATTTAAAATAGCAAAAGACTGACAATTTAAATACCCACAATAAATGGCTGGTTAGATAAATTAAGGGAGACACGATGATTTAGGCAGGCATAAAACGAGTGACATGTACTGATATGGATGGATCTCTAAGATAGTAAGGGGGGAAAAAGATGCAAAATATTATATATATAGTATGGTACCTTCTTTGTAAAAAATAACACACACACATATGTGTGTTTACTTGGAAGATACAAAAGACACTTATAAAAACGATTGCTTCCTGGAAGGGTAATTGCATGGTTGGAGATAAAAGTGAGAAAGAGACTTATCACCATGTACCCCTTCGTTTTTTAAGAAACCTTTTTGCAGAATGTGTACGTATTACATATTCGAAAATTAAATACAATCCAAACACAGAGCAAACTCCGAACCTGCCCCTGGAAGTTGCATTTCTCCTGCTTCTATTACCCCCCTTGAAAGTCTAGTCTCAAACGAAAACAATATTTAATAAAAAATAAGACAAATTGTGTCACGTATTTGCTCCAAACCTTCTAATGGTTTCACATCAAACTCAGAACAAAAGCCCACTCTCTTACCTCTCTGACCTCATTTCTTACTAATCTCCCCTTACTTCAGCTACACTGACATTTTTGTTGTTCATGCAACAACATGGCTCACTCCTTTCTTTCCTTCAGATTTCTGCTCAACCATCTCACTGAAGGGTTCCCCGATCATCTCATTTAAAACTGACGCCCTCTCCCACTCCTTATCCTCGTTTAATTTTTCTCCATCCCACTACTCAGCGTCTGACATACTATGTATTCAAAAGTTTAGTTACTGCTTCTTTCCCTTCACTAGAATGTAAAACCCAAGAGAGCAGAGGGCTTCTTGAGCGTACAGTGCGCACACGCACGTACTCTGTAAAAACAGAAGTTTAAAATTCCAACACTGCTGGAGTTCAGAACACTGCCACGAGGACAGGACCAAAAAAAGTCAGTCCTCTCTAACCTGATGGAATCCCAGTTATACGACGTCAACAAAATGAGATGATCATCTACATCCTAAGAGAGGCCACGGCATAAAACGGTTCAATTCTAAACTACTTTTCTCTTGTAAAGAGTAGTGGAAAACAAAAAGCGCGGGAAGCGCACAAAACACATTTCGAAGCCGGGTTCTGGGTCCAGGATGCCATCCACGCCGCAGCTCGGGGGCGTCTGGGCCATTTGCCCAGCCACGAGAGGGACCACTCCGCGCGCCTCTGTCCCCCTTCTCCGGGGAGTCCAAGGCCATTACCTTGGTGCCTCCGAGTCGTAACACTTCCTCCAGGGAGAACCCATTCTCGGCTCCCTCGTTATCATCCTCGTCGTCCTCGTCCGGATCTTCGCCCCCCTCCTCTGGACCCCACGGCCTCTTGGCATGGAACTCCAAAGGTTTCTTGGGGGCCGCCATAGCTTGCACAGCACGCGCGAATAGTCCCCACGTTCCTTCCGCTTGGCGGGTGACGTACTTCCTGCACGGGGGAGGGGGGGGGGTGGGGTCCCGGTCCCCTACCGGAAGTGGCTGTAATCCCCACTCCCGGGCGGCGCGCGGCTGTGTTCGGAGTTCGGCATGAGCGTTCTCGCTAGGGCCGGCGCTGGGCCGCTGAGTGCCGCCGCGCGCGCGGGTAGGCGTTCGCTCAGCCCGGGCCCGGTTGCCGTGGAAACCGCCGACGCGCCATCCTCAGCTGGGGGCTCCTGGGGCGCTCTGGGCTGGAGGCAGGAGTCTGGCCTCAGACGCGAAATAGCTGTGCGGTCGCGGGCAGCGGGCGTGCTGCGGCCGGGAGTCCGCTTTCCTGGCTTCGGGCGAGGCTGAGTTAACGAGGCTGCTGTGCACTTGCAAATACTCAGATGTTTAACCGGTCCCGTTTCACGTGTGTTTTTCGCAGTCGTTCCCTGGCTTTGGAGAGGGAAATACTTCAGCTCTGGGAAGGAGCCGGCAGAAAACAGCCTGGTGACTCCAATGCTGCGGCATCTTATGTACAAAATCAAGTCCACTGGCCCCATCACTGTGGCCGAGTACATGAGGGAGGTCCTGACCAACCCAGCCAAGGTAGGGGTCCCGGGCCAAGGGCTAGCCCGCTGTAGCAGCCTTGCGAGATGTGAGCCAGCAGGGGGCTACGCAGAGAGGGGCCCGAGGGTCCTCCGCCCAGGCAGTCGGGTACCTTCCAGGGAAGAGCCAGCCCCGAAGAGCTGGGGACAGATAATGAACCTGTCTGTTGGTCAGGCTGGGTCAAGTCAGCGGCAGTGCCATTAGAGAGGAAAGGACAAATTCCAGAGGTGTTGAGGAGACAGTGTAACCGACTGGATTTATGAGATGAGGGAGGGATGACTTCCGTACCTGGGCGGACGGTAGAGAGTGGAATCATTTCTCTGGGAGAAGGGAATGCAGGAGGAGGAAGAGCAGCAGCCGATTTAGGAGGGCGGGGAAGGTCAGGGTCCAGTCCGATATATGAATTTGAAGTGTATGCGAGACTCGGGGATACCTTCTGTACGCAACTGGAAATATGAATGGAGTGCCTGGAAAGTTGTCTGCGTAGGGATGGCTGCAGCAGGCATTGGGAGCATATTCTGGGGTTTCTTCTTGAGAGTGGAAGGTCTGGGTCTTTACTCTCCTGGGATTAAGCACTGTCACAGCTTTCTGCCCTGCGTTTCCTTGTCTGCTCTCCAAAGCCACTTGGGGAAAGCCTGGAGTCCGTTTTTTTTAGAATGTTTCACCTTATGCTGGGTTGAAATATGGGATCTGTGGAATTCTGGGGTTGGTTTGGCCTATTGCTGCTGTTGGATGTGGTGGAGTGACCCAGTGTCCAGAGGTTTAGTAAACGCAGGGATCCGTTAATGCCTGTATGCAGTGCTACAGTGTACCAGAACTTGGTATAAGAAGAAACTTTAGAACCAACATCCCTGGGTTCGAGTGGAGGTCCACTTGTCATTTATTCATTTATTGAGACTCCAAATGTGCCAGGCACTATCTTAGGCACTGAGAATACTGCAGTGGACAGCGGAGTGTGGCACTTCTGTTCTAGTGAGAAAATGAACTATAAACAAGAAAACAAATAGTTAAATAAGATAGTTATAGGTTGTCGTAAGTGCTTCTAAAGGAAAAAAACCAGGTTGGTAGACTGAAAGTAAGTAGTACGGTGGGAATGAGGCTGTGTAGAAGTTCCTTAGGTAGGTGGCCAGTGAAGGCCAGCACGTTTGACTGAAACTTGAAGGATGGGGATGGGCCAGCTGGCAAAGAACTGGGAGAAGTGAGTTCCTAGCAGAGGAACGGGAAATACAGAGTTTTTGAGCTGGGGAATGCCTTGGCACAGAGAAGAGAGAGACACCAACTGTTGTGGCTGGAAGGTGGTGACGGGGGCTAGGGGGTTGATGGTGAGCAGAGTAGTATGAGATGAGTTTGGAGAGGAGCCGGTCCATACAAGGCTTTCATGGAATTTAGATTTTTGTGTTGGTGCAATGGGAAACCATCAGGAGGTGCATTTTATGCATATTGTGTTGGCGGTGACATCCAGGTGGAGATAGTGAGCAGTTGGCTTGAAGAGTCTGGAGGTCATGAGAAAGATTGGATATGTATATGTAAATTTGGTCGTTATCATTATATGGATGGCATTAAAGCCCAAGGAACCAGGGAGAACATACTTAGAGAAGAGAAGCTTTCCCAGGATTAAGCCTTGAGGTAACTCTCAAATTTAGAGTAGAGGTTCTGAACCTAGGGATCCTTGAATAATATGCAGGGGTTTGTGAACTTGGATGGGAAAAAATTATACCTTTATTTTCATTAACTTCCAACCTAAATTTAACATTTCTCTAATTATGAACATAGGCAACAACCAGTAGCATCAGCAATACCTGTGACTTTAGCATAAGTGGAAATCACTGGTATTATCATCACAACAGACTGATCACAGGTATCTCAAAATACCATGGGGCTCAACTGTACTTTGAAACTTCCTTACTATTAGACCTGTGGCTCGACTTTTGTGTGTGTGTGTGAGGAAGACTCGCCCTGAGCTAACATCTGTGCCAGTCTTCCTCTGTTTTACGTGGGATGCTGCCACAGTATGGCTTGACGAGTGGTGCCTAGGTCCGCACCCGGGATCCGAACCTGTGAACCCCGGGCCTCTGAAGCAGAGCATGTGAACTTAACCACTATGCCACTCGGTTGGCCCCCTCAATTTTGTTTTTAAATCACTTACAAAGACCCATATATATTACTATCACAAACTTATTTAAATATTTAATAAGTATTTTTCAGTTGATTTCTTTTGTAATCCTATATGTTTTAACTCCTGTGCATTTAAAAAGCATTCTATGAATGGGTCCGTAGTCTTCACTTGACTACTAGAGTGATTCATAACACAGAAAACACCCCCAAAATGCTTACTTGTGAAGGGGAAAGAGAAAGGCTAGAGGGAGGATGTTGTGCTCTTGTGTGGAGTGAAAAAAAAATTTTTTTTGAAGATGGGAGTGACAATTATATTGCTAATGCTGAGAGGGAAAAGTTACAGCTGTGAGAGAAAGGAGATGAAAACAACCCCAGCCTGTGAGAGTTGTGTCAGGAGTGGTGATTATCCAGGAATTAGGTTTGGATAAGAGCAGAAGGGGAGGCTGTTTCATCCTTTGAGTCCCCAGGAAAGAAGGGGAGCAGGTGGAGGCCAGGTGGGGTCAGGAAGCTGAGGAACGCTCTTTAATTCCTGTGTGGGCAGGAGCCCACGTCATCTGCTAAGAGTCAGGTGATAGGAGAAGGGGCTTGAGGAGCACGGAGAGTTTTTTAATAAACCATTCTTGAGTCTTTCTTGAAGGTGAAGCATTATGCTAAAACTTGGGATGTGAAGGTAAATAAGACATAGTCCTCTCCCCCAAATAACTGCCTTGAGGTGAAGAACATAGACATACATAAAAAAGCTCAGAAAAGGAAGCACTGGATTTAGTGTGAGGTTAGAGGGCTGGAAGAGGAGGTCAAGGAAGGTGCCATTTGAGCAGATGACGTCTTACTGAGTATAGGCTTGCCAGGAGAAATGGAAAAGGAGAAGGGAGAGCATTTGCAATGGCATGGATGTGTGGACAAGCAGGGCTAATTAAAAAAAAAACTAACTTTTTATTGAGAGATTCATGTAGAAAAATGCATGAATCACAAGGATACAGCTTGATGAATTTTCACAAAGTGAACACTCCCATGTAACCAGCACTCAGGTCAGGAAACAAGCTCGCCAGCAGGCAGGGCCAATTTGGAATAGAAAGTGTATGAATTTGGGGGAGGAGGCTGGAGGGGTAGGCAGGGTCTTCCTGTTGGGTTGTGGGAGCACGGAGCACGGAGCACAGAGCATGAGGAGGGTCTGGAATACTGTAGAGATGAGGATTGCATGGCTTCTGCCTTTATAGTCAAGGAGTAATTGTTTTTCTACCAGTTCTGCAAAATGATTGTTACTTTTTCAAATTTAGGTAAAGACATTGTGTTTATCTTATTTAGAAGAAGACCTTTCTTACTAAATAATTGTTTATTTCATTGTATACATTATGTAAGATTTTGGAGGGGTGTTTTAAAAAGCCTTATTCGAAAATTAATTTGTTTCTCCATTTTCCCTTTTTACTTAGGGATATTATGTGTACCGTGACATGCTGGGAGAAAAAGGAGATTTCATTACTTCGCCTGAAATAAGTCAGATCTTTGGGGAGGTAATATGCAATGTAAACTATAGAAGAAACTAATATCACAAACATTTGAGAGCAGATTAAGTTGTATTATTCTATAATAGTGTTTTACAGCTTTGATTTGTGATTCAGAAATTTTAATTTTTTTGTAGTTTATATATGGAAGGAATAGGGAGCAATAGAGGAAAGATAATGGTATAGATGACATTTGAGAAGTTTATACTTTCCTGTAGAAAAGGAAATGTAGAGAGAAGTGGGACAGAAAGAAAAGAGATGGAAGTAAAGAGGTGAACCAGATGAAATATGAGAATGGAAGGTGGAAGAGAGATGAAAGGAAAGGTGAGGAAAGAGGCAGAGAGTACCAAAGAAGGAAGAGAGAAAAGATAAAAACCATTGAGGAATTAGTGGAATCAAGATGCACTCCAGAGCACCCACCCATGATTTAGCCATAGATACGATAGAAGTCTCCCTTTAAGAAACTTTTAATTCTCTTCAGGAATACTAGTTCATTTATTTCCATATAAGAACCTTTGATCAATGCAGAAATAGGAAATAATACACAAGAAGAAATAGAATGTAGGTATTAAAAAATATTACTTATGCCTAAAAGCCATGTAATTATTGAAATTATATGGATATGAAAAAATGGCACGATCATTTCATGTGTCTCTTTGCTTTCAAATACTAGTATCTTTCTGTAAGTGGTACCCTCTTATCTGTGTCACGGGACCTTCTATAGTGGAGGTTGCCTTTTAACTATTTTCTCCTGTTATTAGGCTTCCTGAATGGTTTCTGTAGTAACATAGTCCCTGTGAAGTTCCTGTGTGTGTATGCTTTATGTACATATGAAATAACATGCATATGGTTGTTTGCAAACATTTTGCTTTCTGGTGTAAAGTGTGTATTATGTGGAGTTTTACATTGTGATATACTTTTATACTATATAATACTTTAATATAGTTTTTTCCTTGTCGCAGCTGCTAGGGATATGGTTCATTAGTGAATGGATGGCCACTGGAAAAAGTGCAGCTTTCCAACTGGTGGAACTGGGCCCGGGTAGGGGTACCCTTGCAGGAGATATTTTGAGGGTAAGTAATAAAAAAATGTCTCATAGTCTCATGTATGTCAATCTTATTACTTTTGACTGAGTTTGCAAACTTCATTGATTTCCTTGGCTTTCAGTCCTACCTCCTTAATCTTAATCTCATATTTCTCAACTAAAACATGTCAGAATAATGTAATGAATCATTACTTCTTATCTGTTTGTAAGCTTAAAAATGGGGGCAAGAAGAAGATTGTGAAAGCTTAAAGTATAAAACATTTAGAAGACATTATGGGAAAATATATTTGTCTTCTGAGTGGGGAAAGAGCTTTTTAATTATATAAAAAGCAGAAGCCCTAAAGGAAAAGATGAATAATTTCAACTACATTAAAATTAAGAACTTTTTGTTCTTCAAAGACTCCATAGAGTGATGAGACAACAAAGAACTGGCAGTTAGAATACATAAAGAATTCCTTTAAATCACTGAGAAGTTGACAGATAACTCAGTAGGAAAGTCAGACCAAGGAGGTGAATAAACTGGTCATAAAACAGGAAATCCAAATGGCCAATAAAAGCAAAAATATGCTCAGACTTATTGGTAGTCACGGAAAATTAAAATCACAGTGAGATACCACTGTATCCTCAAAATTAGAAAATCTGACAACATCAGGTGTTGGTGAGGATGGGGAGATATGGAGCAATGGGAACTCTCATCCAGGTACTGCTGGTAAGAGTATAATTTGGTACAACCACTATTGGGCACTATCTACTAATGTCAAAATTACTTATACTGTATGACCCAGCAATTTTACTGCTAGACATATACCCTGCAAGAACCAGGGCATATGTGTACCAGGACAGCATCTTTAGCAAGAACTGGAAACAACCCAAATGCCTATCAATGGAAAAATAGATCAGTAGATTGTAGTATAGGCATACAGTAGAATACTAAGTGCTGTGAAAATGCATGAAATCATGACAGAATGCAACAAAAATCAATATGGAACAAAATGTTGAGTGAAAATAGCAATTTGTAAAAGAATTCATATTATTCTATTTATATAAAATCCCAAAGTAGTCAACAGTAAACAATATGTTTAGTGATACAAATATATTTACTAACATTTATAAAGAAAAGCCAGGAAATGATAAACTCGAGATTCAGAGTGGTGGTGACATCTGAGGGGGAGGGAGGAAATGGGGTCTTAAAGGTAATGGTCATGTCCCATGTCTTTAGCCAGATAGTGAATATTATCTTGTGTATCATTCTTTCTATTGTTCTACCTGATATTTATAAAAATATTTAAAAGGAAGAAGATTGTTTACAGTACATGATAAGTAATAGTATTTAGTAAACTTTTGTAGCTTTTACTGTTTTGGAACCCATTAGTCTTTTTTTTTTTAAGATTTTATTTTTCCTTTTTCTCCCCAAAGCTCCCCGGTACATAGTTGTGTATTTTTAGTTGTGGGCTCTTCCAGCCGTGGCACGTGGGACACTGCCCCAGCATGGCCCGACGAGCGGCACCACGGCCAGGCCCAGGATCCAAACCAGCGAAACCGCAGGCCGCCGAAGCAGAGCGCTTGAACTCAACCACTCAGCCATGGGGCCAGCCCCCCATTAGTCTTTTTGAGTTTATTTCATGTGTACCTGGCAATTCAGTGTAGAAAATAAAACACATACTTCAATATAAATTTAAATTTCTTGATGCTCTATGGTTTTTGCTTGAAATTAGGAATTGAAGGATTTTTTAAAAGAAAATATATAAACATCTGACAAATAAGAATCCTGGTTATATTTGAGGGGGGAAAAAGAAAGAAAACCACTGATTTACGTTTTCAAGGCTCTATTTTATATCTTTTTAAATTGGCAAAATCATTGAATCTAAAATATTTAATAAGATTCTTAAATAATATTTTCTTGTTTCAAGTATTTTAAAAATCAAGCCCAGGGGCCGGCTCTGTGGCCTAGTGGTTAAGTTCGTGTGTTCCACTGCGGCGGCCCAGGGTTCGGATCCTGAGCATGGACATGGCACGGCTCATCAGGCCACGTTGAGGTGGCGTCCCACATCCCACAACCAGAAGGACCGGCAACTAAGATATACAACTGTGTACGGCGGGGGGGGGGGGGGCGGGTTTGGGGAGATAAAGCAGGAAGAAAAAAAAGATTGGCAGCAGTTGTTAGCCCAGGTGCCAATCCTTAAAAAAAAAAAAAAAAAGAGGATTGGCAACAGTTGTTAGCCCAGGTGCCAATCTTTAAAAAAAAAAAAAAAATCAAGCCCACAGCTCTTAAAATGTATAAAGGATGCTTTCCTAGGTCGAGTTCTCAGAATTCTTAAAAAGCCAAAGAATTTAAAGGAATTACAGAAAATAGCTAAAGGTATTACAGACCTGTTTTCATTTTTCATCTTAACTTTCTAAGGATTTTTCTCTCAGGAAGAAGTTTTTCCAATTATAGTTTTATCTCAAAACTACATTGGGAAAAATCATCTTGTCTGTGTTATCAGTCTGTACCTATGTATTCAGGTCTTAAAAGCAGGAGGCAAATCACCAGTGAAAATTAAATTAAAGTGAAAAATAATATTGATGTATTTTATGCTTTTGAATTTTTAGCATTAAAGTATTAGTAAAATATTAGTATATTCCTTTTTTCCCCTCATGCTTACAACAGTAAAAAAAATGCATAGCTAAGAAAAAATTGAAAATGTGGAAGAATCCCAGAATTAAACTGTCACCTTTTAGTGCCATTCAAATTTGACTCCCTGAAGACAGTGTTTAATCTTCTCAAAGATGAGGTTATTTCATAGACATAATGGCTTTATAAAATCAAGGCTATAAGTATTTTATTTCCTTGGTCTTTTTTTAGACTCTCTAATCTGAATATTTTTTTTGGATACTAAAACTGTTATTTTTATTTGTTAATCATAATTCTAACGTTTATCATTAGGAAACCAAATTGTTTACTGTCCATTTCTTATATAGATTTTGCTCAGTAACTCTAATATGTTATGATTGTCACAGACGGCTGGAGAGTGGCTTGTCTGAGAAGTAGATCTCTTTGAAACCAAATATTACTTCTGTGACCTGAACAAATTATTGAGGTAAATGTTTAGAAAACCTAAATTTTTTTTTCTTTTCGTATGTAGGTATTCAGTCAGCTTGGGTCTGTACTGAAAAACTGTGACATTTCAATACATCTGGTAGAAGTGAGCCAAAAATTAAGTGAGATTCAAGCATTAACACTGGCTGAAGAGAAGATCCCATTGGAGCGAAATGCTGGATCTCCAGCATATATGAAAGGTGTTACTAAGTCTGGAATTCCAATTTCCTGGTATCGAGATCTGCAAGATGTTCCAAAAGGTAATTGTTTTACAGTGATTAATGAAAGAATTTTGATCACAATCCCTCAGAGAACTGATAGGTGACCACGACCTTGAAGAGCAATATAATCCTTAGTGCTGCCAAGACCCCTCCCATAGAGGCTAGCGAACTTCTTTCTACCAAAGAGCATTGTATTAGAAAATAAAAAACTGCCTAACTTTAAGGAGAAATCAATTTCACAAGCTTTTGCAAAATCAAACAAAACAAAGACCAAAGTGTAGATCTCTGTTGTGCTTTGTAGTTTTTTGCTACCCCTAAGAGAGGACTGACGATGAAGCAGCCCAGGGCAGCAGGGTCTGAAGGAAGCAGTGTTAGTAGATGGGTTCAGTTTAATTATCTCATATTTTGAACAATTTTATTTGCCTAAGGCAAGCAAGGGTTGGTGGGAAAATCCCTGCACTCATCAGGAATCTTGTATTGATGGGCTCCAGCTCAGACCTACAGTGGTGGCCTGACTTGGGGCAAGGCACCTCAGCTGTTCCTAGTCTCAGCCGTCTGGGATGATTTTAGGAAATTCAGATCCTCTTCTAGCTAACAAATTTGAGTTCTGATTTCTCTCAGGTCTAGTGATGAATAAAAGATTAAGCTGATAATTGAGACATGTTGGCTCTCCAACCCCGTTATGTGGAAAATGAGAATAGTAATAATGTTCTTTGTATGTTCTGCAGAGTAGGTTTGCCTTGAAGAGGTGGATGATTCTGTGGTAGTGATGATTATGGAAGCATTACAGGTTCCAATATGAAGAAGTAGGCATTTTCTTTTTGTTTATGTTCAGAAAACCAATTCATTGCCTTAAAAATGCTGAAACAATTTTTTTCTTCTTTTTTAAAATAGAGTACAGCTTTTATCTTGCACATGAATTTTTTGATGTTCTTCCTGTGCATAAGTTTCAGGTATGATGGGAAAAAAGTCACATTTATAGTTGAATAACAGGGGTCTTATGTTGTAAGAATTAACATTACAATAATTTAATTATTCAGTATATGAACATTACTTGTTGAAGTGAACAATATTTGGAATCTTGATGAATATAAATAATTGAAAAGCAAAAATGAAATATGACATAGAATTCTTAATTCTCTTGGGATAGTTATTAAGAATTCTTAATTATCCTGGGATAAGGATATAGGACAGTGTAAGATGGTAAATGACTATAGTACAATGAAGGATTATTTTTTAACGAATATTCTTAAATTCCAAAGATTAAAATTTTTCTTCATTCTTTCTGTGAGGAAACTTAGGATTTGGTGGTAATGTACGTGTACTGGTAACCTCTAAGGTTAAGAGTATGTATTTCCTAGTAATTTGTTAGCAAAAGCTTCTGATTAGTCCTTCTGAGTCTCTTTGCCATTTTCTAGGCAATTTCCCTCTATGCTGCTTATTTTATCTTCCACAGCGCCCTCTCTTATCTAAACAACATTAATAGTTTGCATTTATCAGTCTACTCAAATTGTTCAAAGAAAATGAAGTAATGCCTTTAAGTAATTTTAAGTGGGTAAAGTGCTCTGTAAATGTTAGTTATCTTTTGTATGGTAAGAGGAGAAAAAATAGTTATTTTGGTAGAGGCAATTTTGAGAACTTGCAAAGTTTGTTTTCATGCATTGTTTTGTGTTTAGAAAACACCACAAGGATGGCGAGAAGTATTCATTGATATTGATCCACAAGTTTCTGATAAACTGAGGTTTGTTTTGGCGCCTTGTGCCACTCCAGCAGAAGCTTTCATACAAGTAGGAATAAGTTTTTTCTTCTTCTTAAGTTTATTGCCAACCAAGTCTTCAAAGTCCTATTTTCTGAGTTACTATTTTAGAGTTCCTTTACAGGAGGAGTGTTGCTAGCAATATGTGGGGTACTTTTTATTACTGGTGAAAAGTGCAGAGGATCTAGACTCAGGAGAACGGGTTCACATCAGTTCTTAGCTGTGAGACCTTAATGCAATGTAATAAGAAAGTAAGCGCTTAGCCAGCAAGTTCCTTATCTTCTCCATTTACGTCAGTTCTCTATCAAATGGTGACAATATTGTCGACTTAACAGGAAGTAAGAGTTTGATGTGTGTGAAAACAGTGTGGTACAGCATATAGTAAAGTAAGAATAATAACTATTTATTGAGTACTTTGTGTGAATTACTCCGTATTTTCTCATTTAATTCTCAAAACAACTCTGTTACTAGGTAAGTTTTACTGTCACTCTCTTTGGGCTGCTGCTAGAGCATGTTTTCTTTTCTCATGCTTCCATCCAGATCTAAATTTGATTCTAAACTGCCAAAATGGTAGGTTTACTACTGTGTTTTATTGACCTGAAGGAATAGTCACAGGAGCCCATCTATCTTAGGGTTGTGTTTAAAGGTTCAAAAAAACCTGTACTTCTCAGGAATGTTTGGACTTTAGATTGCCTGTTTTATTCCTTTTTTTCCAGCTCATAAAAAAAGATTTCTCCTTTCTGGACCATGCTAAAAACTTCTACCTTAGGAGTTACCAGTTTTGAAAACAAAAGAGCTTTTAAATATAAACCTGTGAATTTTCTTTGCAAAGCATAGCAAGTTAAAACATCAGCCTAAGCACTTTTTTTCAAATTCTGGCTACCTGACTGTACGTGAGAGAGAAGCAGATTCATAAAGCTACCAAAAGCCAACCCTCCGGGCCTGAAAGTTGTGCTTCTTTTTAGTTCTTGCCTTGAGTGGTATTCACTTCTGAGAGAGGGAGTGATGGTGTTCCGTCTCATTTGAATGGGGTGAATGGTAAGGGAATCCGTCATCTTGAAGAACAGTCTAAGATGGTAAGAATGTGAGCATGGTAGGCTGAGGTGGGTCAGCTTACGCCTGAAGTGGCTGACCTCATGGTTTTTATAGTTAAACCTCAGTAATTTATTTAATAGCACTGGGGGCTAAATGGTTTGTTTCATTTCATCCTCACAAGCCTAGTATTTACGTAATGAGGAAGCAGACTTGGAAAGGTTAAGTGACTTGTCTCTAGTAAGCAGCAGTAGAAGAGCTGAGACTTAAGAGCTGAGTTTGTCTAACTCTATACCTGTTAGACCTGTGCCATTATAGGCAGAGACATCAGGGCAGGTTATCCTTCATTTTTAATAGGGTGTTAGGAGGAAGCAAAAGTTAATGTATGTTTTCATAATGAAGAAAAAAAAATTTTCATTATCTCAGGAATTAGTGAAATTTCATATTTACTAGTCACATTGACAAGTATTAATATTTATTGTCATTTCACTTTTAAGCTAATATGCACTTATTGAGAACCCTTAATTAATAGCTGGACTTCTTAGGAAATAAGGGCCTCAGGTATATTGGCACTAGTTCACAAGCTGATGTTTCTAGCTATGGGGCGTATCACTGGGATACCTTTTGCCCTGACAGAAGGCATCATAGTATATTTGCTTAATAGTGTCTGTTTTGTTATACTGAATTTGTATCATTTGTTCTTTCTTTTTATTCTTTCTTTCTTGTTCTTTCTTTTGTAGCATCTATTGTGTGCCAGGCACTGTTCTAGGCAGACGAAAATTCCTTTCCCATGCTTTCAACCCAGAGAGAATATATTTATGTGAATTGTGATATGAAAGTATTATCACCATAAATAAAATGATAATCTTGGCCAGTGGAGCAGGGGATTGGGAGGGCATATCACTTTTTATAGAAGTGATTAAAATTGTCTTTGTAAACTAAGTGGACAGCATCAACCAAGGAGTTCTGTGTAATAAAAAGGATGTCATATGAAAAGTTGAGTGTAGACAACATATTCATATTGGGAGGGAATGTATTTTTATTGTAACTAAGAAATACTTGTTGTAGAAAAACTCTAAGGAAACAGTTTTTTGAATGATGTATTTTGATCCAACTGTTCCCTTCTAGTGTGATGAAACAAGGGATCACGTGGAAGTGTGTCCTGATGCTGGTGTTATTATTCAGGAACTTTCTCAGCGCATTGCACTAACTGGAGGTGCTGCACTGATTGCTGATTACGGTCACGATGGAACTAAGACAGATACCTTCAGAGTATGTATGATTCAGTAACATGATTTATCAGAATCCAGTTGGTAGATTTACTTAATTATCATTTGTTAGGTTTGAAGCTCATTGAAGATCTTTATCTTTGGTTTCTACAGTGCCTAGCATTGTTGTATTACATTATCTTACTCAGCTGAGCGTAAGCCCACTGTCCACCTCTCCTTTGAACAAGGTCTGAATTAGCTACGTTCTTCCTTATGTTGCAGAACCTAGGTTTGCATAGATCCTACTAAGCATCTAAATTAATACAAATGGAAAGATTTTCTTAAAGTTCTTACAATTTTCTCCTTCTCCATTTAAAAAAAAATTTGCTACTTTGCAGATTTGATCTAGCTACTGTAATATTCAAAACTTTTTCTGTCATATTTTCAATATTTTTCTCTCCAGATGTTTTCTCAACATCCTTTCTTATGTTTTGAATATGATCAATTCTGTTCAATATACTTTAGATGCTATCAGTCATTTCCTAGATCTGTGCTTCTCAATTTCTAACTTTATTGTATCTAAGAAAAATCTGGAGTTTGCTCAGAATGTCGATTCTCTGGCGTTACCTCCAGGATTCTGATTTATTAGGTCTGGGTAGAGCCACTAACATATTCTCAGGTCATTGTGATGCACATGGTTGATGGATACACTTTGTAAAATACCATCTAAGTTCTTATAAGCCGAATTCATCTGGAGAATTAATGAGATCTCTATTCCGTCATCACAGCCATTACAAAAATGTTAAATAACTGTCAAGGGCAGCATCTTCAGGACATTGCGCTTTATATTCAGTTTTCCACATAGCATCTCATTCGAAGAAAGGGTGCTACTCCATTAAGTTTGTAAACCTTGGATTCAGAATATATTTTCCTTTTTAACAGTTATGTAAAATGTACTACGATGATAACATTTAATTTTGATAACTAAACCATAAAAGGACAGAAATTCATCATTTTTAAAATTATGTTCAAGGGGTTTTGTGGCCACAAGCTTCATGATGTCTTAATTGCCCCGGGAACAGCAGACCTAACAGCTGACGTGGACTTCAGTTATTTGCGCAGAATGGCACAGGGAAAAGTTGCTTCTCTGGGTCCAGTACAACAACAGACGTTTTTAAAAAATATGGGCATTGATGTCCGGCTGAAGGTAATCATTTATTTCACTATCATTAAATATTTTAATTTCACAGTATTTCAAAAACATATTTTAAGTCAGTTCACCTGGTATTAATCCTATTGTAGTTAGCCAGATGTTTGGTGTTCCAGTGTTTTCAGCAATGTAGGATTTAGTGTAGTAATCATACAGCCTGGGGCAGAGTAGCTTCGTGAGTTTTCATGCATCTCCATGTGAGGTAGAATTAGGACTTCCAAATAATGTTCATGTTCATTAAGAAAACTTGACCCTGTTTATGAATTTTCTAATTGTGCTGAGGACATCTTAACCCTTCAGTGTAGATCAAAGCACCTGAATATTTGTTAAACATATAAATCCATAGGTTTAGGTCACAGCAATCTGTTTTTCATAAGCTCCCCATGATTCCGAGGCAGGTGATCAGAAATCACATTTTAAGCACTGCTTTATTGAATAGCTAATAATCATTAGTATTGCTGCACATAACTAGGAATCCTTTCTTCTGATTATTTTTACTAAGAAATTTTTTCTTTTCAGGTTCTTTTAGATAAATCAGATGACCCATCCATGAGGCAGCAGTTACTCCAGGGTTATGATATGTTAATGAATCCTAAGAAGATGGGAGAAAGATTTAACTTTTTTGCCTTGCTACCTCATCAAAGACTTCATGGTGGAAGTCATCAGATGAATGCACGTCAGTCAAAACCCTCTCCATCACCTGTAGCTGGGTTTGGTGAACTTGTTTGGCGGTGATATTTCAGTTTGGGCTTTTTACCAAGTCTGCCTAAGAAACCAAAGCAAAGGGAACACACTTCATATATCACAGGTAAAATAAGTATTGAAATATTTTCTGTTTTCACTGCCAATGAAAATGGCCCATCTTATATACAGTACAACTAAACTTTGAATTTTAAGGTTATCTCTGATTCTTGGTACAATTGTGTGTTCTCAACTTAATGAAACATGGTATTTGTAAAACTGAGTTTCTTTTAATTAATAAGGCTAGTTGCTGTATTTTCATTTTATTTTAAAAAGTAAACATGAACACCAATAGGTTGTTTCCAGTTTTTATTAAACCAAACTGGCCATTCACAGGAGATTGATTAAATAGAACTTCATGTAGTGAAGTAGAGCAATGTTCTGACATAGAAAGATCTCTAAGATTTACTAAGTGAAAAAAGTAGAGTGCAAAATGTTTTGTAGTTATGATTCCATTTTTGTTGGAGAAAAGCTAAATTTAAAGAAATGCTTATAAGTAATTTCATGGAAATTAATATATTAGTGCAGACTAGCTGTTTTCTATTTTGTGATATTTGCTTGTATATAAAAAGTATGGAAAAGATGCCCATTAATCACTATTAAATTTCCCAATCTGGAAGTGCGTTTGAGGCATATGAGCTTATTTGTTCTCTTTTGTGGTATTTGAATTTTTTACCATTTGCTTCTGTGAATTTTATAATTAAATTCAAAATTAGATCCTTTTTCTTTCTTTCTTTTTTTTTTTTTGGTGAGGAGGATTGGCCCCAAGCTAACATCCATTGCCAATCCTCCTCTTTTTGCTTGAGGAAGATTGTCACTGAGCTAACATCTATGCCAGTCTTCCTCTATTTTGTATGTGGGACCCCACCACAGCATGGCTTGATGAGCGGTGTGTAGGTCCATGCCCGGGATCCGAACCTGCGAACCCCAGGCCATCAAAGCAGAGCATATGAACTTAACCTCTACCCACTGGGCCAGCCCCTCAAAAAATTTTTTAAAGTCACAGTAAAACCAGTAAATCTGACATATATTTGAAATATGAGAGTAAATGTAGACTACATAGAAGGAGTAATTTCCTAAATTGAGTAATTCTCCTTTATTTTCAGATAAATGTCAGGTTTTAATTTTATAAGTTCTCATTTTTTGGTTCACAGAACTTTTATATTAAAACCAGACACCTGGACTTTCTGAAGAATTATATTAGCAACACAAATTTACAAGTGAGATTAAGAGAAAAGAATACTAGTCATGTCTTGAATTTATGACAACTATATTGGAAGTTCACTGGCAGAGTGACGAACTGTTGCTTTTTATTACTTCTTTGGCATAACTGAGAACAGGACTACCTTCTGTAGCTCACTCTAAAGTAAAGGAAGATGGAGGCATTATTTTTCAGATGCAGCCCAGCCTTGGGCCATTCCTAGTCACCCTTATTTTATTTCGATATTTATTTTCTTCTTTCCAAAAGTTGGCTGGGAGAATTTTTGAATGAAAATGCCCATAGTTGGCCCCTTCTAATTTTTAATCACTTTTATAATTAAAGGGGAGGAATTAGGCAATGCCTTCTATCTTAAAACCTGGAAAATTCACTTTGATATTAGGTATTTAATTTATTTAAGTCTTCTGGCAGTTGAAATAGTTGAAAATTTGAAGGCAGTTCCTGAAAAATTTAGTCACAATTATTCAGAACTTTGATTCCAAGAAATGAGACCTCCAGATAATTATCTCAAATTTCATATAAAATTATAAGAATGAGTTGTTTTTTATTTTAGGCAGTTAAAAAAAGAATCAGTGTTCTTAAATATAGCATTGTTCCATTTACAAATAGTATTTCCAAAATAGTTCTCTTTCCAAGGCCTGGGAAAATAACACAACCAAATAAAATTTTCTTTGGATACCTCTACTAGAGATAGGCTCAGGTTTTCACATGGAAAAGTACGGTAATATGGAAATACATTTTATTATCAAGCTTCTCTGAGGATATTTACAAAAAGTGGGATGTAACAAAAAATATAAAAATGTACTGAACAGTGTCATTATAGACTACTTTGTACATTATCAAATGTTTCTAACAATTATTTCTTATACAAATACAACTTGACTTCAAGACAAAAAAAGGTTATGCGAGTTATACAGTATCTGGAGTAGTTACTCAACTCCAAATTATCTGACAGTGCCTCTGCAAATTTTTTTAGAAAACTTCTTAGGCATTCAACAATAAAAACAAAAAGAGTGCAATTAATTTCATGGCTTGTAAAGTTTGATTATTTAAGTATAGCAAAGAAACATCATTCCAGTTAATTTTCACCTTATGCAGTAAAACCATAATAGGGTGCCTAGTGACTCAGAATTACTCTGTTTTGCGCGTTGATATAAACAGACTTACTTTGGAGATATTTGGAGCAGTGATCCTCTATCAATCACAGGGAAAATACATTTCTAAAAGGTTTTGTAAAATGAACTTTTAGAACTCCTATATGAGAATGAAGTAGAGAGAGATGTTGTGGAAACGTCTTCTGGAGATCTTTATGGCTGGGCAGTACAGCAGAATCACTGGGCAGAGTTTAGAGGGACTTGAGCCACAATGCCTGGGTTCCTATCCACATACTGTGTGGTCTTTGGCAGCTAGTTACTTAATCTCCCTGTGCCTCAATTTCCTTATCCATGAGACAGAGTTCATAATGCTTTTACCTCATGACTGTTGCGAGGCTAGGTTACAATATGTAAAGAGCTCAGGATGTAGGAGCACCGCATGTCTGCTGCCACTCTCTCGAGGATATTTCTAGTCCTAGTTAAGGAGTAGTGTCAGGGATCTCTAAAGGCCCTCTCAGTCTTAGTCTGTTCATATACAAGAACATTCTTTTCCTTTGCTACCTCAAATTCAGCGGGCAGTGTGACAGGTAACACTTTTACAGTTTTCAGTTTATTGAATAGGTTCATACATATCTGATCTTAACAGCAACACTATGAGGAAGGTAGAAGCAAGAATTCTGATCTTCATTTTATAGACTGAGGAACTCGAAGCTCAGACAGATTGTCACCTGCCCAGGCCAGCATAACTCCATAAAGAATGGAGCCAAGACTTAAACCCAGATTTTCTGACTCCAAATCTTTTGCTCTTTTTGGAGAGAAAAAAAAAGTTTAAACTGATTACTGAGGAATCAAGAAACAAAAAGCCACTAGATTTTTTTATAAGTGGATGGTCTAAGATGTTAAAATTTTTTGGGGGAAAACTATTTGTAACTTTTTAAAAGCTATGAAAAAAAATCTAACCTCTTAAATACTATGTTTGAGCGGAAAAAAATGTCTTTAGCTAGCTGCTGGAGCTGAAACGTTAAAAAAAAAAGTTATTTCATTTTTCCATTTGCTCTGCTAATAATATAGCCCTACCCTTATAAACTAAGTGTTTTATGCTCCACCCCACCCCCACACCCCAAACTGCTTAAAATAATAGATTTTAAAATATTCCAGCTATCTGTAAAGCCTTCCAATAAAGTAAGGGAAGAAAAAATGGATACTGTTGCTCTTCTTTCCTTAGCATTAACTGACTGTGCACTGGCCTAGTTTTAGTATATATTTAATTTTCTTCCTCAAATTATTCAACCCTGTGTAAAGATAAATTGTGTAAAGTTGAGATCTATCCTCCTCGAATGCTGGAATTCAGTTGTGGCAGCACAGTGGCATCAGTGGGAAGGGGAGCAGAGGTGAGTTATGAGGAGACATACATAGCAACTCAGCACTTAGATCAGTAGTTCCTACTACTGGTTTTGTAACATCAGCTGCCCCAAATTCTCTTAGAGGCTGTTGCAGCACACTCAGAAAAGGTGACAACTTAATTCAGAGTTTCAACTCCAAAAAGATTAGAGAGCACTGTTTTGGAGTCTTGACTGACCTCAAAAAAGAAAAGTAAAACAGTCCAGCACTCCTGCTCTAGGGTCTAGGAAAAAGCCCTCAATGGTCAGTTACACAGTGTTTCCAAGTCCTTACAGGAAATTGCGTGCTGGCGGCCTCTCAGTTCTCTCTCAAATACAAACCTGTTGAGTCATCAACCTTAGAACTCCTGTATGATTTGGTCAAGCTATGTACTAACTGGACTCTAGCCTGCCTTTTTCTCCCGTTTTAAAAATAATGTAAGAACACATAAGGGAAGATAAATTAAGTGCCACTATTGTACTAAAGTGAAGGATTAGGAAAAGATACAAAAACCAGTTATTGCTTATGCTATAAAAATTTGTGAAAAGCTTCATCTTGGTTCCATTATGTGTTTTTATTACTCAGTTTCCCCTCCTGTACCTACTCATTATGAACTATAGTATTGGTGTCACCGATTCCTTATATTTCCTTATATCTTTGCATCCTTGCAGATGACAACTGACAAAGAACAACAGTTGTGCAGCAAAATATCAGTCCATAATGTGAAATCCTTCCTTACTGAAGTTAGCTCATTGATAATTAAGGATCTTCTTCCATATCATCTGGATTGGGAGCCATAATGAAGTGTTTGGGGTATACAAGGTTGTGTGTGTATGCATGTATTTCCCAGCGGGCATCATCACTTTCGTGTGTAATGTAACGTTCTCCAATGCGAGTTTCAAATTCTCTAAGGTCAAGCCACGTCTGATAGTCCTAGAAAAAAAAGAAGTAATTATGAACTATAAAAGAAAGAAAATACTGTCAACCGTTTTTTTGCTTAGCACCCTAGTCATATAATTGATAACTCCTGCTCATTAGTACTTGTTATTCCATAATTCCATTTGTAGTATTTTAAATTAACAACGTTAAAGATAATACTTTTTCAAATTCAGAATCTCTAATTAAGAAAGGAACTAGTTTTTGAAAAAAAAAAATTGCCTCAGGGTTCTGAGGTGGGTAATAGCAATCATTAGAACATTTTGTTCTATGCTATGAGAGGCCTATACCTTACTCCTCAAACTAGGGGAAAGTGCTTAGAAGCTAATCATGGAGACTACTATGACTGCACTCATTTTGCAGTTAATTCTACCCCTCATTTCCTTTAAAATAGTTCTAAAGCTTTACTCTGAAGTTTGGGAGGTATCTTTTGACAAGTCTATGCAATGGCTTTTGGGGGAATTAAGCCAAACATTTTAAATGGCATTTCTAATCTCTTCAATTCAAATATAAACCCTTCAGAGACATTTTATTTATTTTATTTTTTTAAGGAAGATTAGCCCTGAGCTAACATCTGCCACAAATCCTCCTCTTTTTGCTGAGGAAGACCAGCCCTGAGCTGACATCCATGCCCATCTTCCTCTACTTTATATGTGGGACGCCTACCACAGCATGGCTTGCCAAGTGGTGCCATGTCCACACCCGAGATCCGAACTGGTGAACCCCCGGCCACCGAAGCGGAACGTGCGCACTTAACTGCTGCGCCACCGGGCTGGGCCCTCACAGACATTTTAAAAGTAAAATATATTTGACAAAATATCTCATGTTTACCTTACAAAAATGTGAAATGAACACATAAGGCCCTATAAAAGGCTAAAACCATTGCTTTTAGTTTAATTGCCTGTCACTTCTGCACAGGAATGGTATACTGCAAAACCTCCAGAGATTCAGCCGCAGGACAGACTAAGCACTGAAGAACACTTACATTATCCTAAGACGTGGAGAAGCTGTTGATCTTAGAGTGGTTTCATGGGATAGGACAAATCACAATGAACTGCTCAACTGAGGATCAACAAAGAGAGAGAGACTTTTTTTTTACCTGTAGCCAGGGATGACTAAGAGATTTGTCCACACTGTAACGTTTTCTCATCTTCACTTGAAGCAGGTTGTTTATCAGATCAATTGCTAAGGGAAAAGACAAAATTAGATACATGAATTTGGGTCCACAGAGCACCCCAAACTTGTGACTCTCCCTGGAAGGCAGTTCAATCCACACAAATACAGGGTTGAGGATTCTTGCTTCTCAAGGACATGGCCTTTAAGCTAACATGTTAGAGATCCACAAATGTTTACTGAACTTACAGTGCCCTTGTTTATTAAGTAGGCAGTAGAGGACAGGTTAAAAAGGACAGACTCTGGAGCCAACCTGCCTGGGCTGAAGTTGTTCTGCCACTTATTATGTGACGATATGGGGTCAGTTACTAAACTATGTTAAACTAAACAGTTACTAACCTGTGCCTCAGCTCCTCATCTGTAAAACGAGGTTTTGAGGTGAAATTCTTTTAATATATGTAAAGGTTTAGAACACTGCTTAGCACATAAATGCTAAGTATTAAATATTGTTATTTCGGGGCCGGCCCCATAGCCGAGTGGTTTTAAGTTCATATGTTCCACTGCAGCGGCCCAGGGTTCACCGGTTCGGATCCCAGGCATGGACATGACACCGCTTGTCAGGCCGTGCTGAGGCAGCATCCCACACAGCATAACCAGAGGCACTCACAACTAGAATATACAATATGTACTGGGGGGTTTTGGGGAGAAGGAAAAAAAATTATTTCAAGATGAATAAAACAGACTCTGATTACAAAAGCTGATTTTTCTTTTTTTTCCCCCCTCCCATGACACCATGTTGCTCTCCAGTCCCTGGCTTGGTCTGGAAAAGCAGCCAAAGCTACTGCCTTTTCTCTACAGACATGGTTAGACTGGGGTGATCCCTCATTACCAGAAGTTCCTGCTCAGCAGGCTTTAACAAATAAGTTCATGGTGTTGTGGTGTTTGTGGTGAGACCTTGGTATACATATTTTATCCAATTATTTGGAGAAACAGACCAACTGCAAAACCAAAGCAACCACCTAACTACATACTGCTTATAGCCCCAAGGAATGATATGTTTGAAATACTGAGACTAAGGCCTGGACCCAAGGATGACACAGATGAAAGACTTATACTAGTTGTATTTCTCTTCTATATACTACAAAACTAGCAAAGATTTTCCCTAAGTATTTTAATTATCTGTGTTCCAAATACTTCAAACCTTCATCCATTCTTCCCTAAATGGTGGTCCACCATGTGCATCAGAATCATTTGGGGTATTTATTAAAATGTATTCCTGCGTATCATTCCAACTGGTGAATCTGAATCTGTAGGGTATAACCAAGGGTTTTCCTGTTAATAAACTCACCAAGTGATTCTGATTTAAGAGGTCTGCAGAGCACGCTGCTCCAGAAATGCTAAGATGACTTTGGTAACATCCAGAAACCTTCATATGTACTTCTTCAGGTGGCTGCATTCATTACCATGTGAGCCTGCTAATGTACATGTTGTTCTTCAAATTTTTCCTAGTTAAATGGATTATTAATCCCTATGATTTGCTTTTTGGAAAAACAAGAAGAACTCCCCTGTCCCAATGGCTGACTAAATCCAGGTGGGGGTATTGCCCAGAAGTGGTTCTATTAAGTTCTCTGGGACTGTTAGATAAGGTTTTAAGTGGTGTGCTCTTCCTGTCAGTATCAGTACACTAAAGAGGGCCAAGCAAGTCATTCTTGATGGGTACAGAACCAGGGGTTGCACACTCAAAAGCCTTCACCAGGCAGGAAAAAAATATCTACAAAGCTTCCTAGCATTAGTCCATAGGAGAGCTGAAAACAAACTGGTGAGTGTCTAGTGAATATAAAGCTCCTTCTAGGTATAAAGAACCTGAGCTACAAGTCTCCATTCAAAGTGCTTACAATCTGGTTCTGAGGATAAGGAAAGTAACTGAAAAGATAGATTACTTAAGGAAGAATACGCCCAGCTAGTAGCCTAAGAAGATCTTAGAGTTTAAAGCAGGGGTTCGGGGAAGAATTCACAGATGAGCCACAAGCTAAGGGGTCCTTGAAGGACTGGAAGGATTTCAATAGCAAGGAGGAGGGACTGTAGGCAGGGGAAAGGCTTAAGTAAAACACAGAAAAGTTAGAAGCAAGTACGCAATTAGGTTTCTGTAGGGAAATAGTGGGAGACGAGGCAAGAGGGTAAGCTCGGGCCGCAGCACCAGCTTACTGTCTGCAATGTGGTTAAAGGGAGGCCAGAGTGTTTGGGAGCAGAATAAGATGAAAGTCGTGTTTCCTGAAGATGGACTTGGCAGTGGTGACTGGGAACTACCGGAAAAGAGAGTCTAACGGGTAGGACGGTGAAAAAGATATTTTAGTAGTTTCAGAGTGAGGTGATCGGGGCCTGGATTAGTGCTATGCCTGGGAACTGTAGACAATGTAAAAGCAAGAGTACTCAAAAATTGGTACCCAGTTGAATTTGGAAGATTGAACAGGAGATATTAAAAAGACAAGTCAGAAGAGACAGGCTGATTTGGGATCACAAAGATTTTGAGACTAAAGGGCACAAAGCTGAAACTTTTTTTTACCTTCACCAGAAATTTCTCTCCATGGATTTGGTGGGTACATAAATGCAGCATTTTGGATTTGGTCATTTATATCTTCATCTTCATTGAAAGGAAACGTGCCACTGAGGCTCACATAGACGATAACTCCCACTGACCACATATCTAGAGAACGGTTGTAACCTTTGCTCCTGAGAACTTCAGGAGCTAAGTACGCTGGAGTTCCTACCACCGATCTCCTGAATGACTTTTCACCAATGATGCGAGCAAAACCAAAGTCACACAGCTTCACCTAGAAATCAAAGGATGATGTTAATTTTATATATATATATATATCAATTTCTATATACATACCTGTCCCTAAATATGATACTGTATTATTTCAACACACTTGCCAACTATATTGATTATGAATGTCAAATAAATGATTGCAGATAGGGAAATTATAAAATACCCTTTTCCCGAAAGGCAAATACATTTATAATCCTGTGATCCATTACTAACATAGTGTGAAAAGCTTTCCTATTGCTTATTTCAAAAAGCCACTTTTGAAATCTAGCTTGCAGAATGCCAGATACCAGACTGATGTTGTAAGTGTTCAGTTTTTTAATGAAATGGAGGGTGCTGATTTTTTATCATTTGGCTTTTTTTTTTTTTTGAGGAAGATTAGCCCTGAGCTAACATCTGCCACAAATCCTCCTCTTTTTGCTGAGGAAGACTGGCCCTGAGCTAACATCCATGCCCATCTTCCTCTACTTTATACGTGGGACGCCTACCACAGCATGCATGGCTTGCCAAGCGGTGCCATGTCCACACCTGGGATCTGAACCGGCGAACCCCGGGCTGCCAAAGCAGAACACGAGAACATCACCACTGCGCCACCAGGCCGGCCCCTCATTTGGCTTTTAAGATCACTTTCTGTTATCTGTGAGCAGGAACTGTGTGTTTCACTTTTGAGTACTCAGTGGCCTCATAGTGCTTGGACATAAACGTACCCAATAAACATTTGCTGAATGAAAAGTAAGACACGATATTTAGAAACTTACCCTTTATTTTGCTTAATCCTAGAATCTCTCTTCCCAAGGATACTATAAATTGGCAAGTAAATAAAATTGAAGTATATTAAAGGTAACTATTAATGTGGCCAGTAGAAGAGTAATGCTAGAGATTGCCTAAAAGAATAAGAGTAACAGACTTTTCTATGACTATGGAACAAATTGCTAGTTAGATGTTTAGATTTGAAAAAAGTTATATCTGAAGTAGCCACAGTCACTACCATGTCCTTTTGGGAAGAGAGTTCTGGAACTGTGTGAGCTTGGCAGAACACTATCTTGCTGCCTGTCTTCTAGTAGAGTTTCAGATTTGGGCGATATCTAATGATGCGTCCATGCTGAACAAGCAAATGACAAGTACTTTGCAGAGGAAATGCCAACTCACAAAATGTCTTCAGAAGCAGCATTAAGATAAATTGAGAGAAAAGGATATTTCGCCTCTACAAACAAGTGGTACAGATAGTGACTTGAAAGCAGATGAAGGTGTATTCTAATGCTGCCTGCTGTTTCTGGGATATGGATCCTCACACGTTTTTATGATAATATTTATTCTGTGGCATTGAATTTGGCTGTTTCTCTATTTGAGCCTTTGAAGAATAACATTATTTGCCTTGAAGAAAGATGAACTCTCTTTTTTTGTTAAATGCCCTACTTCAGCTAACGTCTTGATAAAGTAAAGATGACTTGGCAGTTTGGCAACTGAATGAAGAAGTGTGGCTGTGGCCGGCACTTGAGCAAAAAAGAGTATCAAGTAAATGATGTTATTTTCCCTTTGCTCCTAACGGGAACAAGGTGGATCACTAACACAGAGGTCAGAAAGTTGGAGTCGTAGCCTTAGGTGTAGGGGTGTGCATCCTTTGCCCATACTATTTGGAAGAACAAATGAGATAATACATGGAAGCACTTTATTTAGAACATTGCACCAACTATTAGGGAACCCTTTTTGATCTCACAATGATAGCGATTCACTTTTAACCACACAAGCATTATAAAAGAAAGAATTTGATTACTTTTTTAAAGGTTGAATATTTTAAAAAATACAACTACACATCACTTAACAACAGGGATACATTCTGAGAAATGCGTTGTTAGGCAATTTCCTCATTGTGCGAACATCATAGTGTTCTTACACAAATCTAGATGGTATAGCCTAGTACACACCTAGGCTATATGGTACTAATCTTACAGGACTACTAAGGTCCACCATTGACAGAAACATCATTATGTGGCGCACGATTGTAGCTTTCTTTGAAGGATAATTTGAGTTGTATTTACCAAGTGAAATAGCCATCTGTGGTCCTTATTTTAGCCATTTGTCTAGTTGTGCATGTGTTAAATGTACATAAAGAATAGTTTGGCAAAAGATATTCTAGCTGATTGGAGCAATCATCAATGACAATCATGAAACACATTCATAGGTACCACTAACATATATTTCTCAGGACAACTGTTTCAAACTTTGGGTTATGATCCATTTTTAAGTTTTGGATCACGATCAACACTTTTAAATGAAATGATATTTAACCAAGTAAAAGACAAAATCAGTGCATTACACATAAGACACATTACATACATGATATTGTCATAAATGTCTGAGCACTGGTGGTGATGGGAAATGTAATTCTTATGTAGGCTTTGGTGAAAATGTTTGAAATAGAGTATTCTAAAAAGGAAGAGGAGTTGGCTGCCTGCCTCAACCAAAATCTAGTACCTCCCATTTCAGGGAGAAACCCCGTAATTTGTTTTGTTTTATAGGGAATTTGTCCTGGGCACCAAGCACCAACTGATTGATTCTCCCCATTTCATTCGCAACCCTCAGGGAGAAGTGAACTGTAAGCAATTTATGTGCAAGAAGTTATTCCTTGAGATCTAGTTAAGTCTACAAAGCCTTAATGAAAATAATATAATTAGTGAAATCTGAATTCAACTTATTCAGATATTAATCTTCACTGGCAGTTACAGGCTAAAAGTTCATTTCTGTAAGATGGTTATGTGTGACCTTACAGCACTGCCTTTCATTATGTGGGTACTTTGTAATATTGTCCAGACACTTAAAACGACCCTTAAAAAGGTTCTAGAGAGGATCTCACCTGAGGAAATGGCTCGGCTGATGCGAGGAGCACGTTTTCTGGCTTTAAATCACAGTGCACGATATTCTTAAAATGTAGATTCCTCAAAGCAACAAGTATCTGTTATTGAAGAAATAGACTTTTTTCAAAGCCTGGAAAAATCATAGGTAACCCCTTTCTGACCCCCTTGAATGTGTAATTTGAAAAGTCCACTATATTTGAGTAAGATTTAACTAAAAGTGTTATTCTGTTCTTCAAGGTTAACAATTCCCACAATATCCTGATATGTATAAGCACTGCTCTTTAATTCTCTTAGTTTTTAATTATTCTCTAGTTTCAAAAAAGAGTTAAAATACCTGTGTGACCATGAATTTAGTAATTCGTTCTGGGAGTCGACTTTTCTCACTGGACAGAATCATTTCCAACATATCTCCATGCAGCTTTTCCATTACCACAAAAACTCGTTCTGGGGTTTCAAACATACATTCCAGGTTTACAATCCCAGGATGGTGCAAATTCTGAAGAGTTGCAGGATATATATGACCAGAGAAATCGTTTTACTATGCAAGTATCTAACAACGTGCTGCAATTGTATGGAATACATGACATAGAAGGAAAAACAGCTCAGAAAAATAAACAATAAAAGCAAATAAAATAAAAGGATCATAGATCCTGATTTTCCAAGTTCTGTACTGGAGAGGAGATGCACTGGGGGGAAAGAATGTCTTCGCAATTTGATTATATCATTGCCCTCATCCATTGCTACTTTTTCTTCTTTCTCATCTTTTTAATCTTCTGACATTACTCTAATTTTATGCTGTCTGTGAATAGGCAACAACGGTTGATCAAATTTTAGCTCATTTCACAGAGCTCTTTGGGGCTGTATGTGTGAAGGTCTTTACTCAAGAGATGGTTTTCTTTTTTTGAGGAAGACTATCCCTGAGCTAACATCGGTGCCCATCTTTCTCTACTTTATATGTGGGATGCCCACCAAAGCTATGGCTTGACAAGTGGTGTGTAGGTCCACACCTGGGATCCGAACCGCTGAACCCCAGGCCACCAAAGTGGAACATGCGAACTTAATCGCTGCGCCACTGGGCCGGCCTCAAGATGGTTTCGTTTTGAAGGTAGTTACTTATCTAGTCTTGATTCTCGTTACATTATATCTCAATTTGGTCTTCCCTCTTTTAGCCTCCACATCTCTTTACCTCCACCATCCCATATTTCCTGAGCACTACTGTGTTACCAGGGTTGGAGAAATAGGAAGATGAATGTGATACTATTTCTGCTAATAAAAAACAATCTATTTTACTGGTAAGAAAACCTTCCTCAAAACCAAATTTGAGAAGTCAACCATGCAAAAACATTCAATGGCTCTTTATTTCTGGATATATATCTAAATTCTTCTGTTTGGATTTTAGTAATTTCAATAATCTCCCTATTCAATCTTTTTAATGTTTTTTTTCTCCCCAAAGACCCGTGGTACATAGTTGTGTATTTTTAGTTGTTGGTTCCTCCAGTTGTTGCATGTGGGATGCTACCTCAACACGGCTTGATGAGCGGTGCCATGTCTGTGCCCAGGATGCAAACCGGCGAAACCCCAGGCCCCCGAAGTGGAGCGTAAACTTAACCATTCTGCCACGGGGCCGGCCCTCCCTATTCAATCTTAAATATGCTCTATTGGCCCAAGTGGTTTAAACCTTTTATTCCTTATTAATAAAAAAATTTTTCTTAGGGTTTTTCCCTTATTATGGGTACCTAATTATACTAAGAGGGCAAACGTATTTTTGGCCTATGTGAGGTTGAATTCCATCTCTAAAAGGTTTTCTGAATCCACCATCCTCTCTCAATTCCCACTATAACTGCCTCAATTTTAGCCCCCATTCTCTCTTTCGGACTACTGCAGTCACTACACTATATATGCAGCAGTACTTATTCCATGGTACTGTATTATGTGTGTACGTATCTTACTTTTTAGCCTAAAAAATTACCTGACGGCACAGACTGTAAGGTCTTGGTCATTTTAGCTCAATGTCTGAATCATGGTTGGTGTTTTAAAAAATGTTTACAAAATGAACAGTAAGGGCAAAATAAATATTGTTTACCAACCAATTTAAAACAATTTTATGGCATAGTGTTCCAAGTAGCAAAACAAGTGACACAATTTTATAGCAGATGAAAAGACTGAAATACCCCCCAGTGGTAGAGTGTAATAATGGCAGTGAGCAGTGAGATTCAGCATTTCATAACTTTTATCAATTTAGGATTGGAAGTGTGGCTGCAGTCCCCTATGTAGTTGTCTTATCTCTCAAGTTTCTTTTTTCCCCACTCATCTTTAAAAACACACTCATACACACACAAAAACAGAAGTATGCTATAAAACTCTTAACTTCAATTTGTTTAAATGTCCTATTTCCTCTGGAATCTGTTTTGGTAAGTTATACTTTCATAGAGAATTAATCATTTTCTCTAGGTTTTCAAATTTATCTGAGAGACTTGCACAAGGGAGTATCTTAAGATTCCCTTTCTTAATTTTTTTCAGTATTTGTAGTCATCTCCCCAAGATTTTTTAATATTTTCTTATTTTTTTGATTAGCTTGGCTACTTTATTGTTATCCTACACTCCAGAGAACCAGCTTTTGGATTTATTAATTTCCATTTTTATCTATGTTAATCCCTTCTGCTTTCCTTAGGTTTATCATTCATTCTTTAATTTCTTGAGGTGGATTCTTAATTCATTTATTTTCATTCTCTCTTAATATTGAGGTTATAAAGTGTTCTCTGAGCTGTAGTCCAAAAGCTCTGATATGTGGTACTTTCATAATTATTTTCTAAATACTCTGAAATCTTGATTTTGCTCTTTGATTCAAGAATTAAGATATTAAAATTTTTCAAGTGGTGGGAGCTTTTTGTTTTTTGATTTCTGTAATTTATTTCTAGCTTTATTGCATTAAGATCAAAAAATACTGTTCATACTACTGCTTTTTCTAAATTAATGCAATTTTTTTTTTTTTTTTTTTTTTAGGGTACAGAGTTCAATATAAAGTGGTTAGATCTACTTTATACTGTTTAGGCCTTCTATGCTTTTGCTTATTTTTGCCCACTTCATCTGTCATAGACTACCAATGTGCGTGTCTGTTTCTCCTTGTATTGTCTCTAGTTTTCCTTTATAAATTGTTGATGCTGTTATTTTGTGTAGCATGGTTTACACTCTTCCACTGTTAAAATGCCTTTCTTCAATTCATTTAATCTATTTCCCTTGAATTAAATCTTATCAGATTATGACCCCTTGGCTTTCTTCTATCTGAGAAGGCGCCTAGAGAGGAAAGCACACTTGCAGATCTCAGAAAGAGCCAGGAAAAACAGTTCTTATTGTGGTACCTCTTCCTGCATGTGCCCCTGCTCCATCTCCTGTTTTTGGAAAAACTGCTACCTATTTTGTAGGTCTGAACTCTCTTCTATTTTTATTAAAGATATAGTATGCTTTTCTGTTTATCATTTTTCTTGCAGCTTTTGGGTGATTTCCAAGAAGAGAAAGGGAAAATACTGAATTTATACCACAATGTTCAAACTAGAAATTTCCCTCTTAAGTTTCTGATGTTTTTCCACTTAGACAGGTAGCCATGAGGGTGCCACACCTTTTCTTCCATTACTCTACTACCCTCTTCAGGCAATAGCAAAAGAAACATTTTACATTACTCTATCTCTAAGAAACGATGGTAAAAATCCCCATTTCTTCCCTGCCCCACAAGGCACTCCCCAGATGTGGCCATGTTGACCGTTTAGGTAGGTATGAATCCTCTCTATAAATAACTGTATGTAAACATATGTAAAGTACACATTACCTTAAGAAATTACACAAATGGAATCACTCCATACTTCCTTTTTAAAGATTTAGCAATATGTCATAGATAATTCCCCACGTAAGTATATTTACTGAATAAATATTAAATGAGTATTTGCTGTGTGCCTAGTACTATGTATAGGTAGTCTGGATTCATCAGTAAGCAAAACTGACGAATCTCTCTCATCTCACGGAGCTTATTAATTCTAGCAACGTGAGATAGACAATAGGTAATAAATGAGTCAGTTACGTAAGTATGGAGGTGATCAGTGCTATGAAGAAAGGAAAAATAAAGTTAGGGTAAGGGATGCAGTGGGGGCAGGTGGGCTTAATGCTGAATAGAATGTGAAGGTCTCACTGAGGAAACGACATTTGGGCAAAATCTTGAAGGAGACAGGGGAGTGCGCCATGAAGATACTGGAGGGGGAAAGCATTCTAGGCAGAGGTAAGAGCCAATGCTAAATCCTTCAGACCATGTCTGGTGTGTCTGAGGAACAGCAAGAAAGTTATTGTGGCCATCATTTGGGAAAGAGATCCAATTTGTTGAGTGTGGTGTCTGCAGTGGAACCTTTTTCAAGAGATTTTGGTTTAGCCTAATAAAGAATAGTCACAGATGTCCAAAAGTGTCATGTCCTCATTTCTATTAAACTGACAGAAATACAGAGCCTATCACCAAGTGCTCAAGAGAGAGGCTGGACTTTCCTGGGTAAACTGTGAGGCCACTTCTAAATCATTGATTCTATAATTTTTCCTTCTTGCCACCAGAAAGGCTAAAGCTGTGGTCTCAATAATATGCTTAGTCTCTACCCTGTCCTTTCTTTATAAAGATGCAGACGTAGCGAAGTAAAACCAGGGACGTCAGTGGAGCTGCAGATGAAGATTCCAGTACCAGCATCAAATACTAGGCTGAGTTCAGCCAGCCTTTGTGGTTTGTAGGTTTGTTTGATGAGGACTACATACAAGAAGAATCCAGGGCAAAGATGGGAAAATAAAGGTGATAGAGGTGGAGGGAGAAGAGGGGAACAAGGGTGCTGTGATTGAGCGTATGGGCATAGTAAGTTCCTTGCAACCAATCTGAAAGAGTCTAGCTGAAATACTCATATAACTAAATCTTGTGGCACTAATTTTAGTAAAAGAGTTACTATTTGAAAGTTTCCTTTTAAAAAATGTATTTACCAACATTAATTCATTAATTCAGATTGTACTAACAGAACTGTAATTCAAGAATTGGAAATACAATGATGTACATCTGAAATTAATATTGTTTTAAACCAATGTTACTGTAATAAAAGCTAAAGCAAAACAGAAAAAACAGAATTGTAATTCATATACAAAGTAGGCTAAAGTTGATCTTTACATAAATAGAAAAATTTGTTGAGTTTACACACTGCAAAGGAACTGAAGTCAAAATTTTACATATATGTGTACACATGTACACACACACAGTAGGTCCAATGTGATAGAGTAGAAAGAGCATGTGGTTTGGAGACAGACTTAGATTCAGACTCTGAACCTGTCATCTTCCTGTTGGGTAATGTTGAGAAAAAGTACTTAAGTATAGTTTCTGACACAAAGTAAGCTATTCACTAAATATAAAAATGTAAATATTGTATATAAACAATTTGAAGAGAATTTACAACAAAGTATTGTATTATACTTAAGATGAAAACAGTATATTTGGAGACATACTACAATCACTTAATTCTATTTCTAGTTGAGCAATATCAATGAAAATAACCAGAAGGATATAATAATAAAGTTTTTACATTATGCATTATCTGGAAATTCCTAAATTTAGTTATTATGACCCACAGTTGATAACATGAAAAAAGCTTCAGTGTTTAGTTCACAGCTGTTTTTGTGATCAAAGTGACAAGGAGAAATCAAGCCTTAGGAATATATCCTTAATATTTATTTTTTGCATATTAGTTGGACAATGAGAAAGATTCCAAAATTACATATGAAAAAAGATCTTCAACAATATATTCAAACCCTAATACAGAGTCTGAATGCTATTAATATTCTCTTTAAAGGCAGCTTTATAGGAGAGGGCAGCCTTGAAGTGACCACAGGTAGCTTGTAGACCACAATCTTTTGATTATCACTCTCCTGAAAAAGTGAGGCAAATGTTACTACACGTAATCAGTAATGTAATAAATATAAAATGAATTATGTGTGTGTAAGTTTCTTACCTTCTTCTTCCAGGAAGCATAAGTTCATTAGATTGTGTCTTCTTGAACTTCACCCACAAGCATATGGGGCTCTGACAGCATTAACTATTACATCATCATGATTTCTTAAATATTACACAAAAGCTACACAGTGAATTAATAGACACTTTCATATTATAAATTACTCATGATATTCAGAAAAGCTAAATTTTAATCTTCTAGATAACATGCCCCAAAAACTAAAGAGATAAAAATGTCAGATGAAAATAAAAACACAGTAATTTATTTTATAAGTCATTACCAATATATCTTTAAAAATATACCTTAATGGACTAAATCATTATAAAATTAAATCTTTAGTTTTGAATTAATAAAATAACAAATGCTACTGTTAGGAAGCACACCGTTTTTAAGCAGTCTTTACTTTTATAGTAATTGCTATAATAATCAAGCGCATCAGTTGTGGGAATTGGATGGGTACAATGACCTCCTAATGAAATATGGTAAGAGAAGTATCAAAGTATTTTGAGCTCCTAGAGTGATGAATTGAGAATGAAATTTTACGTTTTTTTGGTTAAGATTTTACTTATGAAAACGTGTCCTAAGCAAACTACTACTATAATGGCAGTCCTTGTAACTCCTAGATTACTGTAACCTAATTTTGCCTTTTCTAAAAAAAGATGAGTTAATTCAGAAGCTCACCAGCCTCTCACTGAGCCAAATGGTCATAGGATAAAAACAAAACAAAAGAAGAACCAAATTTTATTCTTATGAGCACACTAAATAGACTTAAATTTAAAAATTCATAAATCAAAAATTAAAACCAATACAAAGCAACTTTTCTTTTTCTTACCTGTAAAATAGCCACTTCATTACGGAGTTGACTTTCCTGTTTTGTGGGGAATCTCATCTTATCAATTACTTTAATAGCCACATCCCTTCCAGTCTTTCTATGTTTTCCTATTTTTCAAAAAAGAATAGAAAAGAAAGAAGAAGCAACTGACAGCTCAATACAACACAAAAGCTTTACCAGGAGGTTAAGTTATCCACAGACTGAAATTGGTATGTATTTACTCTCATTTCTTTTCTTTGGCTTATTTTGTTCTTTCTCTTTCACTCACCTGTAAGAAATAAATTGTTTTCCTTTATAGTAGTTGCCCCTAATAAAGATTGTTTCATTATCTGAAATGGCAGGAAATTTGAACTTGTTTGCTGAAAAATAATCTACCTTATTAAATAAATAATAGTTAACCACCCTGACCTAGTCTTCACACTTTCAGGACAGAAGCATTGTACAAATGAATTCATTTTATTCGAGGTGCACTCAGTCAGCACAGTGATTTAACCACATATTACCACAAGCCTTGAGGCAGAAAGGCCAACTAGGAGATTACTCAACAGTCCTATCAAGGGAGGACAAGGGTTTAACATTACTTTTCTTTTGTACCTTAGATCATAGCTTATAAAGTACTTTTATGTATATTAGGTTTAATTAATATTAACCCTGTGAGCTATGCAGGTCAAGTTTTATTAGCTCCATTAAACTGATGAAGATACTAAGGCACAGTGAAGTTAAATGACTTTGCCAGTATCGTAAGTCACAGAGGTGGAAAAGATTTCAGGTGTTCAGACACGATACAACATTCACACCAAGAGTAGACAAATGGTGCCATTTGTGTTGGAAAACAGTAGGGCGTACACTTCAATAAATAAGCCCACACAACCCAACATAAACTTCAAACCACTTATTTTTCCCACACACACATCTTTGTGTGTGAGCTACAACAGATAAAGACTACTGTGAAACTCATTTTCTGATTCTTTCTCTCTTTTTGAAGTTTGCAGTTGAAATTAAGGAATGAATACTCAGTTATACTGAAAAGGGCTTAGCTAAAAGGATGCAACTCAACCTTTGAGAAAAAAGCCACCTGACAAAATTGTGACAAGACATAAAGCTGGCAGATGTTTTTAAATTTCATAAATCTTCTATAGTATGCATAATATGCAAAAGGCTGTAGTCACTTACCTCCATAAACGATACCAAATTGGCCTGAACCAAGCACCTCATCTGCAAAGATCTGGTAAACAGTACTGATGTCCTATTTAGGAAAGAGTGAGCAGTAAGTGTTATTTACCTCTGCAAAAACATGTCAATATCTCTGATTCTTTTCATTCAAATACTTAAATACATTTTTATGATAGAGGCAAGTAATTTTCATAACAAAATATTTTATGAAACATAGGCTTTCTATGTCCTAGAAAAGCCCAATTTTAATACTATGACTCTCAATGTGCAAGTATAATATACTCTCTAAGAAGACCTTCGGGGGAAAAAATGCTTTGAATAAAAAATAACATTTATTAAGTAGTGTTCTATAAAAAATAAAGTAATATAAAAAAATTGAGAATAGGGGCTGGCCTGGCTGCATAGTGGTTAAGTTCATGCACTCCGCTTTGGATTCAGATCCGGGGTGTGGACCTACACACCTTTCACCAAGCCATGCTGTGGCAGCATCCCACATACAAAATAGAGGAAGACTGGCACAGATGTTAGCTCAGGGCCCATCTTCCTCACCAAAAAAAAGAAGAAGAAGAAGAAGAAGAGAACAAAGTATTATCTATTTTACTATTAAAGAGATTTGCTATCTTTGATTTGAAAGAAAAACTCAAAGATTCATATTACTGAGATTGGACTAATTTTGAAAGACTGATGAAAAGGGTATGTGTGAGAAAGTCTGTAGCTCAAATCTACTCCTCCATCTTCTTTCCTCCCACCTCTTCTGTTTTTTTTGGGGAGGGGGGGTAGTGGTTGTTGCTGTCAGAATATTCTTGGAGGGCATTCTCCAACCCCCTCCACAGCTCTTCAGTCAAGGTCTCCCTTCTGTTTGGATATGTACTACAGTCTCCATGAAGCCAGGGACTATGTCTGTCTTATTCAGTGTTACATTCCCAGCCAGTGTCTGTCTCATGGTAGTCACTCAGTTGAATAAACTGAGTCTCCTAGACCTCAATTTCCTCACTGGCAAAGTAGATATACTAATATCTATCTCACTGGATCTTTAAGTGAATTAAATGAGAATACATACAAAGTGTCAAGTCCAATGCCTGGCATATAAAAATCAGCAATTCCACAAATCCTAATTTCTGTTTAAGTTAGGTAATCTTAAGTAAGCTACCGAATTCCCCGGGACTTGGTTTTCTCACCTGTAAAAAGGCATTGATCTATCTCTCTTAAGTCCCTTCTAATTTAAAAAATGCCTGATTTTATGATTATCACCAACATTTACTGAGCTCTAACTAGGGCTCTGTGATAGGTAGCTAATTTGTAAAAGAGACTTAGTACTTAAGGGGCTTATGATATGGCAGGGGAAACAGAAAAATACATTTAAAAGATAAATAATTCAGGGCATCATATCAGGGTCAAATAAGTTCTATAGCAGAGGCTATCCTAACACCTTTTCTTACTCACTCACCAGAATAACCTCTACCCTCCATGCTCTCTGAAAAGCATACATGTCCTGATGTCTACAGGATTGTAACAAATGCTGTGGCTAGTCCCCACATGAGTAACTCTTAAAAGTGAATTTGTTCCCAAACATTATGCCAAAGATACTTATTATAAAGATTACATGGTTTAAGTAAGTATTACAAAAAATTAAATATAAATAAATATATAAGTCAACAAAACATGAGAGATTTCTAGGAATACTAAGTAGTTTTGGCAAGTCTGTAAAGATGAGGTACTAAAACAATTGCTGTCAATTTACTTGTGAGCAAAATAAACACCACAGATTGCGGGAGTGAGGATTCTGTTCTCAGAATGTTTTACAAGTATCCTTGGTTGCACTTTAAAGAAATGAAAATTGGAAATTACAGACAATGCATTATGGGTGGAGTTGCATAATGAAGAATTTGTCCCTAGTTCCTGAAAGGGAGACTCTAAAGCCCTGGAATTTCCCAAGTAACAGGAGTATCTCTGTTATTCAGGAAACCTTTGGATTACACCTGAGCTTATGCTAATGAGATGACTCAGGATGGCAGAGGGTCACCAGAAAGACCAACCATGTGATTATTTTTGAGCCAGTCCAAACTCAGGGGAGGAAAAGGGGGTAGGAGATTGAGTTTAATCATGGGGCCAATGATTCAATCAATCACACCTATATAACGAAGCCCTAATAAAAACTTTGGACACTGAGGCTCAGGAAACCTTCCTGGCTGGTGAACACATCAATGTGCTAGGAGGGTGGCATGTCCTGATTCCAGGGAGAGGACCCAGAAGCTCTACAATGAGAACCCTCCCAGACTATACCCTATGTGTCTTTAGTTGGCTGGTCCTGATTTGTATCCTCTACAATAAAGCTATAACTGTAAGGACAGCACTTTCCTGAGTTCTGAGTCATTCTAGCAAATTATTGAACCTCAGTGTGGGATCATGGGAATCCTCTGAATTTGTAGCCAGTTGGTCAGAAGTGTGGGTAACCTGGGGACCCCTGAACTTGTGTTTGGTGTCTCAAGTGAAGGCAGTCTTCTTGGGAACTGCACCCTTAACCTATGGAGCCTGCAAAAAATCAGGGTGGTTAGCATCAGAACTACATTACTATGTTACAGGTGTGGCTGATGCAAGAAAGACAAACTGGAACTGTACTTAGCAGACCCATACTTACAGAAAAAATCTTAGCCCTGTGACAAAAGCAAATGAATGTGCATATATATGTTTTTAAGTTACAATAAAAAATTTTTAAGGTCTGTGAGAATCATTTTTATATGCTTCCCAACTTTAATCAATTTTTTGTTTAATCAACCAAATTCTGATTGTAATTAAGTTAGATAAGGGAACATCCATTATTTAAATAAAAAATGCTAGAAAAGGTTCTTTCACAAAGACTAATTTTGAACCTTCTCCCTCCTCGGCTATGAATGGATATGTCAAGTTCCTGAAGGATTCTTCAAACTTTGTGATCTTATATTTTTGTTATCCCCCTTTCTCTCCCAAGGATCTGGTATCTATTCTACCTACCACTAGGACAACAGACACACAGATTCTACGTCCTTGAAATTCTCTATCTCTTACAACACTACTGGATATCTAGTCTTCACTGCAATCTTAGAAAACCCAATGACTGTTATATATTACAGAGCTGTAACAGCTGGATGCCCCAGGTGGAAAAGGAAGAGAGATTTTTATCAGAGAAATTTATGCATGGCGAATGAACAATTTTCTAACTTCTATGTCTTTCTACTGCAGGGGTTGGCAAAATATGGCTTGTGGGCCAAATCCAGCTTGCTGCCTCTTTTTGTATGGCCCCTAATCTAAGAAGAGACTTTAAAATTTTAAATGATTGAAAATAATCAAGATAATATTTTGTGACACGAAAATTATATGAAATTCAAATTTAAGTGTCCACAAATAGTTTTAATTGGAACACAGTCACGCTCATTCCTTTATGTACTGCCTACGACTGCTTTCTCACTACAATGGCAGAGTTAAGTAGTTGTATATGGTTTGCAAAGCCTAAAATACTATCTAGCCCTTTATAGAAAGTACCCCTGTTAGAATCCCTTACATGTACCTAACACGCACCAGCTAAACTGAATCTAGTCACAATTCCTTTCAAGTCCTACATTTCCTGCTCCCCTCTGTTCGCTCCTCTTGTTCCCTGTGTTTGCATGAAATGTTGCTCCCCCACCCTCACCCTCTCAGTACTCCTGTCAGAACTCCTTTGCATCTTTTTGGGCATAGCTCAAGTTCCACTTCCTCTGGCAAGCTTTCCCTGCTGACCCAACAAGACGTATTCTCTTTGAACTACACTGTCACTTTGCAATATTCTAATACCCTTATGAAAGGTTAACTTTCCTTTCCTAATTTAAGAAATCTCAGTTTCCTTCATAAAGCAGAACTCCTCAGGGAAGTTATCACTCACACAATCTCGCCTAGTGTCTTTAGGCAAACTGATCAATACTTTGGCAATGAACCTATTTCTCTAGTAAGATTGTCACATCTTATTTTCCTTATTTTGATCACCCAATTGTCATATTTTAGCTGTAGTTTTTACTTACCACATTCTCCTGGATCTGACAGTTAGATACAGAAATACTCGTAGACAAATCTTCTGTAAAATACAAGAATGATGCATGAGAAAAGAACAAAATTGTTAGTATATGACTTAATAATATTAAGGTTTACTGACATGTGAATGCCCACAGCATATTAAATTTTAAAAACTGGCTAACGTAGTTAATATAATTGCATTCATAAAAAAATTCATCCATACACAATTATTAATCCATCAACAAGAAACTGGTTAAATAAAATATGATACATCCATACAAAGGAACACTATTTAAACATTTAATGGTGTAGAACTTTAAGTACTGAGTCAGAAAGCTGCACATGACATAATATTAAGTCAAAAAGGAAATTGCAGATTAGCGGCATTTGAATTAAAAACAAACAAAAAATATGATTACTTCTGGTGAGTGAGAGAGGTGGGGTTGGAGAACAAAGATTTTAGTCTTTATATACTTCTATACTACTTGCATTTTTTTAAAAAATAAAAAGCATACATTACTTTCATGATAAAAAAATTTAAAACTAGGTAAAATCTATATACTGACATTGAAATATATCTGATACATTTATAAAATAGCACAGAGTTGCAAAAAGGAACACACAGAGTATGACCATGTTTTTGGTGAAAATAAAAATAACAATACAGTACAGATAGTATAGGCTCCCTCTCTTCCCTCAAGCCCTTCCCAAATCCAGAAATATAAAGCAAATGTTAATAATGGTTTTCTGAGGGGAGTGATAAAGGACTGGGAAGGGGGGCGGGTATTATGCGTGTATAGGGAGGGCTTTCTCATTTTAGATTACTTATTTCTATAATGTTTAAATGTCTGTGTTATTTTGGTAAGCAAAAGAAATAACTGACAAGAGGGGCCGGCCCGGTGGCACAGCGGTTAAGTTCGCACATTCTGCTTCTCGGCGGCCTGGGGTTCGGAGGTTCGGATTCTGGGTGCGGACATGGCACCGCTTGGCACGCCATGCTGTGGCAGGCGTCCCACATATAAAGTAGAGGAAGATGGGCACAGATGTTAGCTCAGGGCCAGGCTTCCTCAGCAAAAAGAGGAGGACTGGCAGTAGTTAGCTCTGGGCTAATCTTCCTCAAAAAAATCAAAAAAAAGAAATAACTGACAAGAAAAAGAAAAGGGAAACACGGAAAGTGAGCAAGAGACTAGGTATCAATCAGGTAGAATCTCAGAGACAACGCAGAGAAACAAGATACGAAATTTCCTTTATAATCCCAAATGTAAAAATATAAAACTTCATTAACAATGAAATGTAAGAAAACTATGCATCAAAAATAAGTAAAATGACAGTGAAAAATTCCATTTAAAAATATTAAGTCAATTTTAAAATATCTTAAATAATCCAAATATTAAAAATTAATGAAACAAAAAAGGCACAGCATCAACAAAATTAATGTGTCTAAAACTCTGCTTTTTGGTAGTTCCAGTTTCCTAATTTAAGTCAATATTTGGTTTCAAAGGCTGCAACTATCTAGCTCCATCCAGTTTTAATTTCTATTGCTTCCTAGAACTCTGCTCCAGATAGGCTGTTACGTGAACAGCGAACCACAACAGCAGCAGCAACAACACAACAGTATCACTTACATGTTAGGAAGTGTGCTAAGTGCATTACGCCCATTTATTATTATTCCTGCTTTAGACTAGAGAACTGTAGAGACCTAGATCACAGAGCCAGTAAGCAGCAGAGCTGGGCTTTCATTCTCCAGAATCCTCACTCTTCACCCTTCTGCAATTCAGCCTTTAGGGACTCTCAACAATCGGGAGGAGGTCCATGGATGTGCTTGGGAAGGGTCCCTAATTATACATAAAATTTGTGTATGTGCTTAGACTATTTTATGGAGGAAACGGTCAGTGGTTTTAATTAGAATATCAAGAGTTCTGTATAAAATCCTCCAAAACTTAAGAAGCACTGTGAATATCCTCTAAGAACATTCTCCCTCTAAGAATCAATATTAAACACCAAACATGTTCATGGTCATTATCTTTGTCCCTTTGATCACACCAGTCTCCTCCACTAGAGTAACACTACGCCTCCCCCACTCCCATTCAGCTCTGCCTGTCCTGACATACTTGAGAGCCAAGGTCAGGGTCCAAATCAGGTTTTTCAATCACGAAGTCTCTGCTTACTCCTCCTATCCATATCTGAGTTCCTGCGTAATGCATTACTGATTTTTGCACGCTACTGCTTTATGATACCATGTAACACTTCCTATGTATGTATTCCTATCTCTCTTAATAGCTTTTAAATTTTCTGTATTTCTTTTGTATTCTAGCTCAGAGCCTATGCATAATGCCAAGAAGAGCTGCACAAAATAATATATCTGAACTGAAATAAAATACATTTAGAAACTGGCTGATACCTATTTCAATTTAAATATGTCTGTCTAATGAATGAATTATGTTTCCCAATAAATAACACAATGCCAATAGGGGGAAAGTAACATTTTACTACAGCTTTCTGATTAAGTGTTCACTTGAACCTTTATCAAATTTAGGTTTTATTTTATAAATTTTCTTGGTGCAAAGACCATGTTTTTCAATAAATTTTTAGTATTTCTGAATGCTTAAATTCAATTAAAAGAAATACAGCATTTCTGACTTCACAGATTTTATGAGTATGATGTGAACCACAGCACTTTACAGCCTATTTATATCCCACCATGAAGCAAAATATTAATACTGATAGTTTATGTAATCCGATGAGAGTTCATGGATGCCAAACACTGTTCTACACTTTATCGGTTCTCTTTCATTTAATGGTGACAACCCTTAAAGTAGGTACTATTACAGAGAGATACAACCCTATAAAGTAGGTATTATTACAGAGAAGTAAAGTACTTACGTAACGTCACATAGCAGGTTGGCAGAAGCAGGATTTAAATATAGAGAGACTGACTCTGGAGCCTGGCTCTAGGGATTGTATAGATACACTATAACCAACATAATTTCATAAAGGAATTAACTAATGTTACTGCTTACTAAAGATGAAGCTTAAAATGAGCATTAAAAATACATACAGAATCACAATCACACCCACAAAATGCCTAAGAACCAACGGGGAAAAGAAACCACCACCAAGCTCATTGCTTACTGTGATCTTTCCCTTGCCCGGGAGAAGTGCAAACACTTGCTTGAGGGGTCACAGGCATGAGAGCTTGGCGAATTGCTTTTTCCCAGCTCTGTGCTACATCGAGTCCAACTCCAGAGGCAGCAAGAACAGGATTGTGAGAGCTGTCCCCATTGTTCTCACCAACAAAGTATACCATAGTATCAGTGATGATTTCAAAACAGTGTGGGTTGCTGCCTTGTGAAATGTTTGTGAAATCTTGTGGCGAAGATATGCGGAGAATTTCTGAAAGTGGAATTTCCTGAAGTAAAAAATTAAGCATTGGAAAATATGAATACATCTTTGTTATTTTCAAATTCACTAAATCAAATACATGCATTTCTAATCAATGCCATTAAGATGAACACAAGTATGTGGCACAGGGAACACACAGTCAAGTCTTATGATAGTATCCGCCTTGAATGATGTGCATGTCCAGCAATGCCAGAGGCAGAGCATAGAGTCTAATAACTAAGCCAGTGATTAAAGTCTGAAGCAGGTTATTAGAATGCAAAGAAGGAGAGGATTTAGGAGGGCAACTGCCACTATATCCAACACTTGTCACTTTCCAACTGTCATTAAATCAACTCAACAGCTACTTCTCTACCGGCTGCTGTCTGCAAGATAGAACCCCAAAAGTATGAAGCAGAAATAACAGCAACAAAAGTAGAATGGCAGTATAGGTTGTTTAAGCACTCTATTCTGGTTCCGTCCATTGGGGTAAACTGTAACAGTCATTTATGTTTAGTCCACTTTCTAAGGCAAAAACCTATTTTAAAAAACCCAACTCAAAGCTCAAAGCAAGTCATTAGTTTCTTTTCTCTTTCTTACTCATACAATTGCTACATTTACAATCTTATTTGGTATCAGTCTATGACGTGGTGAGATGTAGAGCAATGCCAAGCAAAGAATGCTATACAAAGGAGACAGAGCCAAAAGAAGCATTTGGGAACTGGGGCCTGAGTTACAATGGAAGGTGAGAGAAACAGCAAATACCACGTTGGCCTCTTCTGGACAGGCAATAATTATGGGACTTTCTTAACGGTCTAATCTAAATCACAGTGCCCAGAAAGAATGCAGCAGCAACCAGACAGGCCGGTTAAAAACAAAGAAACATACAATGAAAAACTACCTTTGGTGGGAGGGCTGTTACAGAGGGTGAAAAGGAGGGGTGGGGGACAGTTGCTTCAACAAAGAACTTAGTACTTCTATAAACCATATCAGGCAGAGTTGTAGTAGGTATATTCCAATATAACAACCAATGGATATTATTTAGATACATTCAGAAAACATACAATATTTTAATATACATGTTTTTTAAAATGTGAAATCTGTACCTTATAATACTTTGATCCAGATTCGTTTTGAAACAATGTTAGACATTTGCTGTCAAGTCTCCAATAATGCCTTTTTCTCTATAAAACAAAGAGCATAAAACTGTAAGTTTCAAAAATAATGACTCCTTTAAAGTATCTGTACTTTCGTTTTCCTATCATTTTTATTCATAAATCTGTACTTTTGAATAAGCTTAAAATTCATGAGGTTCAAAACTCTGAAAATATAAAAAGGATATATAATGAAAAGTAGACTCCCATCATCACTCATCCTACTCCTACTCTTATGCTAGGCAAGCAATGTTATTAGATTTTGGGGAATCATTTTAGAGAATTTAATGCATGCACATGCAAAATACATATGCATCTCACACACACACATCGATATATGATTTACCTTTGGACTAAATTTCTAAAGGTTGGCTCGCTAGGTCAAAAGATATGTGCACAAGTAATTTTGCTTGACTGTGTTAAATTATCCTACACAAGATTTGAGCCAATCTATAGTCTTATCAGCAACACGAGAATGCCTATTCACTCACACCTTTACTAATGCAGTATGTTGTTAAACTTTTTGACCTTTGCTACACTAATAAATAAAAACTGGTATTTCAGTGAAATTTTAAATTATTTTTTATTTATTTTTTTTTGGTGAGGAGATTCACCCTGAGCTAGCATCCAATGCCAATCCTCCTCCTTTTTGGCTTGAAGATGATTAGCCCTGAGCTAACATCTGTGCCCATCTTCCTCCATTCTGTATGTGGGATGCCTCCACAGCATGGCAGATGAGTGGAGTAGTTCCACGTCCAGGATCCAAACTCGCCAACCCAGCCACCAAAGCAGAGTGCACAGAACTTTAACCATTCAGCCATGGGGCCAGCCCCCTAAATTGTACTTTTTATTAAAAACAAGATCAAGCTCGCATGTTTAAGAGTCATTTGTATTTCCTAGTCTGTGAACAGTCTTCACCCTTTTTTTGCCCATTTTTCTATTATGTTGTCATTTTCTTATCAATTTATTGACACTCTTTACACACAATTGAATTAATCCTTGTTTAGAATGAGTTGATCCAGTTTATCATTTGTCTTTGCTTTTGTTTTTTGCCATGTAGAATTTTTTTTCATGTCTTTAAATTATTTTTTAAAATTAAGACTTTACTTTTTTAGAGCAGTTTTAGGTTCACAGCAAAACTGAGGAGAAGGTACAGATTTCCTACATACCCCCTGACCCTGTACATGCATAGCCTATCCCATTATCAATATCCTCCATCAGAGTGGTACATTTGGTACAACTGATGAACCTATATTGACACATCATAATCACAAAAGTCTGCAGTTTACATTACGGTTCACTCTTGGTGCTGTACATTCTACATATTTGCACAAATGCACAGTGACATCTTTCCATCATTATGGTATCATATAGAGTATTTTCACTGCCCTAAAAATCCTGTATTCCATCTATTCATCCCTACCTGTCCCCGTCCCCTAACCACTGATCTTTTTACTGTCTCCATAAGTTTTGCATTTTCCAGAATATCATATAGTTGGAATCACACAGCATGTAGTCTTTTCAGATTAGCTTCTTTCACTTAGTAATTTTAAAATGCCTCTATGTTTTTTCATGGCTTGATAGCTCACTGCTTTTTAGCGCAAAGTAATATGTCATTATCTGGACGTGCCATAGTTTATTTATCCATTCGCCTACTGAAGGACATCTTGGTTGCTTCCAAGTTTTGGCAATTATGAATAAAGATGCTACAAACCTCCATATGCAGGTTTGTGTGGATGTAAGTTTTCATCTCCTTTGGGTAAATATCAAGGAGTGTAAGTGCTGGATCATATTACTGTAAGATCAGGTTTAGTTTTTTAAGAAACCACCAAACTGTCTTCCAAAGTGGCTGTACCATTTTGCATTCCTACCAGCAATGAATGAAAATTCCTATTGCTCTACATCCTCATCAGCATTTGATGTTGTCAGCATTCTGAATTTTGGCCATTTTAATAGGTCTGTGGTGGTATCTTATTCTTGTTTTAATTTGCATTTCCCTGATGAAATATAATATGGAGCATCTTTTCAAATGCTTATTTGCCCTCTGTGTATCTTCTTTGGTGAGGTATGTATTAAGATCTTCGGTCCATTTTTTAATTCGGTTGTTTGTTTTCTTACTGTTCAGTTTTAAGAGTTCTTTGTATATAGTGAATAATAGTCTTTTATCAGATGTCTCTTTTGCAAATATTTTCTCACAGTCTGTGGCTTTTCTTCTCATTCTCTTGACACTGTCTTTTGTAGAGCATAAGTTTTTAATTGTAATCAAGTCCAGCTTATCAATTATTTCTTTCATGGATAGTGCATTTGGTGTTATATCCCCAGATCCTTTTTGAATCTATACCGCTCTACCAGTTTGTAAAGACAATACATTAAATATTCTGCCTTTTAAAAATTCTTACAAATGTGACTACAGTTTCAGTGTACTATAATTGTTAGTCTTAGTACATATCTCATTTTGATTTAAAAAATGCACAAAACAAAGAAAGAGAGTTTCACTATCACATTAAAATGTCTGTAATTACTGACCAGGGTGTCTCTGCTGGTGTAATGGACCATCCACCCTTCCTTCACCATCGTACTGCTCTTCCTCTTTGTGTGCTTGATGGACTGTACGACCCTCATTAGCGGAATATTATTGCTTGTTGATGGACTAAAAGATATTTAAAATTTATGATAAATATTGGTAGTTTCAATTTTTAAAAATCATACAAATACTGTAAGCTCTTCAAGCCATTTTTAACACAACTGAGCTAAAATCTTTAAAATATCTTAGGAACACAAACAATGGCTCAAGAAGAAAATAAATTATTCTGGTTATGATGACACAAGTTGATTTATGAAAGATCAGGATAATACTCTAAGTCCACATTATTTGTCATGAATATTTTCTGGAGGGTCACAAAACATAAGCAAGCAACAGAGCAGAAAGCATCCTCCCCAACTGGAAGATCTGGAGGCTGGGAGAGGGTCTCATTTGGAATTGTTGTTGAGAATCTTCCCGCCCTAGGCAGCATGATAAATTAGTAAATTCATATCAAAGCAAAAGGCAAGAACAGTCATGTGCTGCAAAGTGACGTTTCAATCAATAATAGACAGCGTATATGAAAGTGGTCCCATAAGATTAGTGCTGTATAGCCTAGGTGTGTAGTAGGCTATATACCACACTCTATGATGTTCGCACAATGTTGAAGCTGCTTAATAATGCATTTCCCAGAATGCATCCCTGTCATTAAGATGTGTCATTAAGATGTGATGTATGACTGTACACCCATACCCAAATTCACATGCTCAAATGTCAAATTCCATTGTTCGTAGTGTTAGCAAAAAGTACTTCTAGAATAAAATGTTGAAAGAAAAATGATTTACAGATATTAAGAAGATACAAAAAATAATGTAATTATTCAAATCAGATAATATTGAAACATGGGTCAGTAACAGTGCAGCTGGAAAAGAAGAGCAATTTGGGGTGGGAGTTGCAAAAAATACATTGTTTTACAATGAGTTAAATACTTTCCCTTAAATTATGAAGCATTTATGATTAGGAAACTAGCTAAGTTTTGTTATTCTCCAAATAGGGTAAACATTAAGTTTTAATTAATAATGACAATAGTAATAATAGCTGTAATTTAATGATAAGTCAAACTGAATAAATGATGATTTAGCCATGTGAGATTGATAAATGATCCATTTTCTCTAAATGCCTCTTGTGAAAAACAAAACCTGCCAATACATTAACATTTTATTACAAGGTAGTACATACCATAGGACTGTATATACAAAAACTGAATTTCTATAAACACAGAGGGATATTTCAGTTCTATAATCCAATAGCATTTTTACAAAGTACTAATAGATTAATTGTGGTAATATGAAAATTGCCCTAAATTCGTTGCCATTATCTTTGTGCAACAACTTCAGTCATATATTCCTACTGGTATTTCTAACACCAAGTAATCTGCCTGTGTAAAGAAAGTGGTTGTTTTAACTGATAGTTCAATTCTGGCACCTTGTGGTGGCTGCTCCACTGCTAGATATTATATCTAAATTACTTTAAATAAAGCATTTTTCTCTTTAAGAAAACAAAGATTCTCATATTTCCCATCTTGAATGGATGGCAAGAGTGATATAATTTATTTCAGGTATAAATACTGTGGTGCATGTAAAAGAGTTAGCCACAATTTAGAGTTTAAATTGAACTTTAGGTTGCACTTAGAGAGATGTGGCTTTTTCTTTCCTAATGGAGCCCCTGGACTAACCCTGCATTTGGAAGTAGCTTGCAATACATACACGTGTGTTACCTGATTGTTTTAACAGCTTCTTCATCTCTTTCCACATCAAGATCAGACGGATCCAGGAAGAACATTTTATCTTCTGGGGGAGATGGTTCTTCTATGTCATCCAAGCCCCGACTACCATCACTGTTCATGTCACTACTGTCAATATCCATTGGTATATCTGTATCTGTTCCCAGACTGGAAGGTTCTGGCAAAGTTTTAAATGAATTTCAGAGTTTTATATTACTGGGATACCAATACATCTAAACTTAGAGACAGTATATTAAATGTGAAAAAAAGTTCTAAAACTCTTAAAACGAAAATACAGGAAAATATCCTTATGATTCAGGATAAAGAAATTTCTTAAGGAAGATAAAAAAATGCAAAAACCATAAGGCATAATTAAGTTTATTACATTAGAATTTTAAGTTTCTATATGGCAAAACATACTAGAAGCAAAGTAAAAGATTAGCCACCACTATTATACTTTGACCGATTTTCCACAAGAAAATTCAATGGGGAAAGAATAGTCTTTTCAACAAATGGTGCTGGACAACTGGATATCTACATCCAAAAAAAGTGAAATTGGACCCCTTCTTAAATCAAATACAAAAATTAACTTAAAGTGGATCACAAACCTAAATGTAAGGGCTAAACCTATAAAACTCTTAGAAGAAAACATAGGAGTAAACCTTTGTGACCTTGGATTAGGCAAACCCTTCTGAGATACACCACCAAAAAAGTAAGTGACAAAAGAAAAAATAAATAATTTGGACTTCATCAAAATTAAATACTTCTGTGCTGCAAACAATAACTCAAGAAAGTGAAAAGACAACCCACAAAATGGGAGAAAGTATTCTGCAAATCATATATCAAATAAAGGACTTGTGTCCAGAATATTTAAAGAACTCTTACAATTCAATAATAAAAAGATAACTCAGTTAAATGGGTGAAGAACCAGAATAGATATTTCTCCAAAGCAGATGTAAAAACGGCTAATAAGTACATGAAAAGATGTGCAATATCAATTAGCCATCAGGGAAATGCAAATCAAAACCACAATGAGGTATCACTTCATACTCACTAGAATGGCAACAATCCAAAGACAGACACTAACAAGTGGTGGCGACGATGTAGAGAAATTAGAATCCTCACACACTGCTGGTGGGAATGTAAAATGGTACAGCTGCTTTGGAAAACAGTTTGGCAGTCTTCAAAATGTTAAACACAAGGTTACTATATGACTCAACAATTCCACTACCAGGTATCTACCAAGTGAAATGAAAACACACATCCACAGAAGCTGTACTCAAGTGTTCAGAGCAGCGTTATTCATAACAGCTCCAAAGTGGATAGAACTCAAATGTCCATTGAGTGATTGGATAAATAAAATGTGATATAGTCAGGTAATGGAATATTATTTGTCAATAATAAAGAATAAAGTATTGATACATGTTACAACATGGATGAACCCTGAAAATATGATGCTATGTGAAAGAAATATTATGCTATGTGAAAGAAACCAGTCACGAAAGACTACATATTATAAGATCCCATTTATATGAAATGTCTAGAATAGAGAAACCCATAGAGATAGAAAGTTGCTTAGTAGTTGCCAGGGGCTAGTGGGCAAGAATGGGTGGGGAGTGACTACTAATGGGTATGGAGTTTCTTTTCAGGGTAATGAAAATGTTCCAACATTAGATTGTAGTGATGGCTGCATAACTTTGAATAAATTAATGGGTGAATTGTAAGGTATGCAAATTACATCTCAGTAAAGCTGCTTAAAAAATGATAAGCCACCAACTGAGAGAAGGTATTTGTATCACAAGTAACTGACAAAGAATTAGTAGGTAGATTTATCTACAACTCCTGCTAATCAGTAACAACAAATAAACAGAAAAATGGACAGACATGTGCATAAGCAATTTACAGGGGCAAAAAACCTAAATAACCAATAAACATGTGAAAGATGCTCATCAAACTCATTAGTATACAGATCCGTGCATATTAAAATAAATAGTACTTCATACCCATTTATCAAAAGGTAGAAAAGCACAATACACGAACTATAAATCTACAAAAGACTTCAATCACAGAGAAACACTGCATTAATTCAGATTAACTGAAACGAGAAAAGCAATCATGCTCTGTCAATGGTGTTAAACAGCAACTACAGAAAATAAAATGTTAAACTGTTAAAGAGTTTAATTTCCATTCCTGTGCTTTTCTTCCTACGGAACTACTTACATTCAATTTTTATCAGTTATGTAAATGTTAAAGAAAAATTATGCTGAGGGGGGCCAGCCCCGTGGCTGAGTGGTTAAGTTCGCGCGCTCCGCTGCGGCAGCCCAGGGTTTGGATCCTGGGCACAGACATGGCACTGCTCATCAGGTCACGCTGAGGCGGCGTCCCACATGCCACAACTAGAAGGATCCACAACTAAGATACACAACCATGTACGGGGGGGTTTGGGGAGATAAAGCAGAAAAAAAAAGATTGGCAACAGTTGTTAGCTCAGGTGCCAATCTTTAAAAAAAAAAGACCCTATTAAAAAAAAAATAATGCTGAAAAGTTTAGTCATTACTCCTTTCTTCCAAAAAAGGTAATGACTTCTATTAATATAATCTTGAAAAGAGAAAAAAAAATGGCAAAAAAGGGAAAATGTTTAATGATTATTTGACGGAGAAAGAGACAGTGAGGCAGTACAATGTGTTCTGACGACTATGGACTACGAAGCCAGACAACACGGGTTCAAATCCCAGCTCTACCACTTACCGGCTCTATTTCTTGGGCAAGTTATTTATTGTCTTTGTTCCTAAGTTTATTCATCTGTAAGTACTTATTTCAAAGGGTTGTTCTTAGGCTTAAATGCCAATAAATGTAAAGAGTTTAGAACGTGCCTACTATACAGTAAGCAGTCAATAAATATTTGAACTATGAAATAGTTCTAGAGACAACAGCAGGGTTTTAATATAACTCCTTTTATGTCTAAAGATGAAAGAGGATAAGCAGCACTACCAGCTGTTTTAGACTACCAGGTGATAGGTGGATAAAGGAAAGATGAGAAGGCATAATTACTAACAAAAGTGTACCATTACTTATTTCTGTATTTTGCTTGATTATTAAATCAGACAAAAAAGTCAAAGAAACAAAGTAAACAAAATAAAGTATGCAAATGTAACCTCATACAAAGATAATACACAAAAGAATTGTGACCTTTTCTGATCTTTTATGGAAATTAAGAAAAAGAATTTTACCTCCATTGAATGTCACCTCTCCAAGGCAGTCTCTTGGTACTTTTGATGCACAGCGCTTATGGCAGTTAAATTTACAATCTAAAATAAAACATTCAGATTATTAATTTATGTAAAAAGTCAGGCAGTAACAGACCTGGTTAAAGACTTTCTTTAAATCACCCACAAATAGAGTATTATTAGTAATGAGGATACCAATGATGATGATGATAAAATAATAAAGTTTTCCTCTACTAAGAACTCAGGTCTTGCACTAAAGTTCTGGTTTCAAATTCTGATGCCACCTCTTAATAGTTGTTTAACCCCTCAGGGCTCAGTTTCTTTATCTGTAAAGAAAACTTAATACTATTTGTATAATATTTTGCCAAAATGTTGCTGGCAGCTCGGTTTCCTTTCCTTACCTCACATTCATCTTTCTCATCCCCCTTAAGAGTTTCTCAGGCTGATTAAATTCCCTTCCAATATATGTCAAGCACTTACTTTCAATTCCTAATTATTAGGACCTGGTGGCATATGCAGAAAAGAGACTGAGATTCCACAACCATTTATTAGAAATTAGTAAGGGCTTTCCCATACAACCTTGTGAGGAAGGACTGAGCTTCTCATGCACAAGGTCTCCCACTTGCACATAATGGTTCTCTGCAGCTTACGAGAACCTCAGAGTTGATAGTAAAGCTGATCAGTGTCAGTTACAAGCTGTTCACTACTACTAAGTAACTCAGTGGTTCTCGAACTGTGGTTTCCAGACCAGCAGCATCAGCATCATTTGAGAACCTGTTGGAAATGCAAATTCTTGAGTCCCACCCCAGACCTACTACATCAGCAGCTCTGAGAGGGGGGCTGTGAAATGTGTGTTTTAGTAACTTCTTTAGGTGACAGTAAAATTGAGACCCACTGCCATAACTACTGTCTAACAGCAGTCTGAAATACATCTACTGGCAATAACTGGGTAAAAATCATTTCAAGTCCTGATTCAGAATGATTTTGTAACCCTTGTGATTCAAGAAAATTCTGGGTATTATGCCAATAGAATAGGGAAACGGTCCTTATAAGAAAAAGCCCCATGACATTAATAATTTGGTGCATGATAAAACTTACATTATATTAACACTGTTTTTTTAAATGATAGGCCCTAGAAAAATTCATATATGATATTACTATCTTGCATATATCTTAAAAAACTGATTTGGTTTTTTATCTCATGAGGTTTGCGAACTGTGAAAATAACAAGGTTTCCATTTTCCCTTTGAAAATGTAGAGCCAAATTTGTGGCCCACCTGCAGCAGGTATGTAGATTCTAATGGCAGGCATTTTTATTTCGTTTTATTCCTACCCACGTTTTTATTAATTTGTTTATGGCTTCTTATATTTTATATTTGCTTTCAAGCTGCGTTGAGCTTTTAATATAACAAAGTAGAAAATAAACAGATGAATGAATGGATGAATAGCTCTTTTTGGAATTGTATGTTTTCTCAAATGATCCAGCATAACTGTTTCACCTTAACTAATTATTTTTTCCTTTCTTCCTTAGCTTGACAAAAGAATGAGAATCATGGCTACTTTACTTTTTAAGTATGTTAATTCATATGACAAAAATACAGGACTCACTGAAGTAAATTATGACTTTTTGACTGATAACTAAAATAGCTTAGCTATAAAGAAATATAACCTGCTACTCTCTGAACCAATATAAGCACAAAACATTATTCTTTTAGAGTTCTAAGAAGTTAAACTAATAACCCAGTGGCAGAGTTAAGTGGTTTTATTTCAAAATTCATTAATCTACATATTTATTTTAGTTCCTCTACAAAATATTGTATGCATATGGTTTTGGAACGTTCCGTTCTGTTCAGCAGAGGAGCATTATTTACTATCTTTACTAAGATTACATGTTGGCTAGAATTTGTACATCTGTTATTAATGTTCTTTCCCCAAACATTCCTTACTGGCTTCTTGCCAATACATTTTAGTGTTGATATTTTAAAGTATTAATTTATATATTAACTCATATTCAAAAGCAAGCTGTTGAAATAAAATTTCGACATTTAATTATGCTTGTCTGATGGTTATTCAATACCTGACAACAACCTGTCTTCTATTTGATGTTCTCCCATGTTGCCATATATTGCAAAGGAAAGCTTTTTCTTCTAACATATTCAAGTTAAATTTATACACAATTATTTGACTCTGTATTGTAAACAGCATTTATTGTTGCAAAGACCTCAACTCTAATGTTTTATTTAGATAAAACTGGATAACTCAACTCCATAAATACTTCTACTATATAAAAAAGTATGGTACCAAGAACTGTTAAAAAAATTACATGAAAAATAAGTACATAAGATTACCGACAGACTACTTATACCTTATCCTGGCTCAATGACTAATAACATTTAAACTCTTTATTTTGGTTTTTACTCTGTTGTATAGCATTGTGATGTAGAGAAGATGAGAAGATAAGAGACAAAACGATAAAAGCATAATAACATTATATGACTGTAAGAAAAAAATATTTCATCACTCTATTAAAAACCTGGTTCATTAAGAGATGTTTTTGGAACACCATGATAGTGTTCTGAGTTAGTATCCAAATATGAGTGGTCCCCATTATAATTCCAGTGGCTTCTACTATAGACTACCTATTTCAGTGTGATTATTCTCCAGAATGACAGTTACTGTACAGCTCTCTTAGCTACATAATTAAAAATAAAAACATCAAAACTATCATAATATGTTTACGTGTGTGTGAATGAATATTTAATGGAAAGAGAAAAGCATTATTTTCTATTTTGATAGTATCTGGCCCTGGAATCAGAAATAGTTGAGCTCAAATATCAGCTTACCTGCCTACTAACTATTCCATATTGGCAAGTGTTAGGCAGCCATACCTCACAGATCTAAATTCTAAGTTTTCACATGTTTATATTCTAATTTTTCTGTAGCATAGTTCCTAGTACCTAGTACACATATTGCAGACAGTAGCAGAAGTTGTTAATAAATACCCATGTATATTTTCTTTCTTTTTTAAATGAACACCTAAGAGATCAATTTCTTTGCTTAACACTTCCAAAACATAAATATTTTAAACTTATATTTGCTAACAAAGACAGAAATGAATTTTACATAAGAAAACACCCTACTGGAATCCTACCTTTACACTGCATTCCTTGGCGAAAGAGGCCTTTCAGTAACCGCTTGCAGTACTGACATATTGTGGGACGAGTGTAAGAGTGAACAGCAAACGTGTGTGGAACTTTTACTCTGCACATTACCATCTTTTCCATCCAGATTGGGCGACCACTCCAAGAAGGAATTCTCTTACTTGGTTCTTGGTGAACATGTGACTAAAACAGAAGTAATTTCCATAAGTAGAAGTCAATATTAAAAACAAAGTATTAAAAGCAAGGCTTGACCACAAAAGTCACTTACTTCAAACACTAAAGCCAAAAATTTAAAAATGTGGATCTCAGCAGTTTCCTCTGGAAGATTAACTTACCAACTCTTGAATGAGAAAAGTGCAGAATTTTTTGCTATTATTTATGCTTTAAAAAGGCAGAAGATAGTTTCATCCTCACATACGTATTCACTGATTAACTATTATTCGCCAGGCACATAAGGCATTTTACAAATAAAAAACAGAAGCCTTAAAAGGAATTCATAACAGATGTCCAAATCCCTTCAAAAACTTTACCAAGGAATTAATCACAGGAAAAGTAAATAAATCAGAAAGTGTTATTGTTGCTCAGGTTGAATTACTGAACACAATGTCTGAATATATTTCGAAACAAGTCTCATTAGTTTTTCAAATTTATTTTAATACTAAAATATGTATGTAAAAATTTAAATCTAATTAATGATGATAATATAAAATAATGGCAGATAGAAAACTAACTAAAACAACTTCAGCCCCAGTAATTATGCTTTAAGAAGTTCCCTGATATTTTAAGTAATTGCTACTTATTTGGGCTTTTCCCCACAAGTGAACAAAAAGAAAAATTAAAGATAGCCTTAATTAAAAAATTTTGCGTAACCTGATGGATGAGTGGATTTTTCTTTTCTTTTCTTTTGATGAGGAAGATTGGCCCTGAACCAACATCTGTTGCCAATCTTCCTCTTTTTGCTTGAGGAAGAATGTCCCTGAGCCAACATCTGTACCAATCCTCCTCTATTTTGTATGTGGGACGCAGCCAGAGCTTGGTTTGATGAGTGGTGCGCAGGTCTGCGCCCAGGATACGGATATGTGAATGCCAGGCCGCCGAAGTGAGGCATGCAAACGCAACGACTACTCCACCAGGCCAGCCCCTGGATTTTTCTAACTATGGCCCTTTCCATATATATGAGGGAAATAAACATATCAAATTATAAGCCAGTTCAATGTGGCCCATCCCATTCATTTAACATTCACTGATTATTATAGGCCAGACTTATACTACGTATTGAAGATACAAAAATTAATAAAGTATAGTCCATGTTCTCCAGCACAAAATTCAAATACATAACTACCATCTAGATGTATTACAGATCTTGTTGTAGCTGCTTGCATCTTCACTGCCAGAACTGAGGTCCTGAGACCTTTCACGTGCCTTCTATAATTAGTAATGTCTGTAACTCAGAGAAGCTGTCATTCTACATTGACATGTTCAACCAATAGAAGCAAAAGAAGCCAGAAGAAACCAGGAGACAGAGAACTGTAACGGAGTTGTGAGGGGAGGAGGGGAAAAAAAGACTTTTTTTGAAGAAAGTAGAAAGAAGGAAAAGAAGAAAAAAGAGAAGAACAGACGAACGGAGGAGAGCACTATAAAAAGAACAGTTTTTCACTAATGTCTAGCCTGAAATTTTCTAAAACAAATTATGAAGCAGTCATTTAAGAAAAGTACAAAAAGAATGTTAAAACCCAAACCAAACTTGCATGCTTCAGCTATGCAAGGTGTCCTAGTCTGGCGCACCCTTCCTCCATGCTGCCATGTACAGGGCACCTTCAGCAAAAGGAACACCACAGTGCTTCTGCAAAGCTAATAAAGAAGCCAGTGGGAACTAGAAACAGATGTTTTAGGCCTTTGTTCATCCCTGGCTCCCTATTTTAGTGGTGACTCAACGCACTGCTTCTCCTGCTTCTACTTCTACCACTTTTGGTTTGTCTCAAGTTCAACACATACAAAATGGACTAAGACTGATTTAGTCAGTCATCGTCAAATACATAGGATATCCCTGTAAGGAAGAACTTTCCTAACAGATCTCTCCATATGTCAATGGCCAGTCAGTGACTGCCTTTTGTGAGGTCCTGATGAGACTGGGGTATTAGGAACATGGTACAGAGCATGTGTGCAAGGAAATACTCAGGACTGTGGTTGTAGGAGCCACCTAATTTTTTATGTCCAGTACAAGTAGTTATTTATGTTATTATTCCTATTTTTGAATATGAAACAGCAAGCTCAAAGGGATTAATATTACCAAGAGCTAGTATTAAATCAAGACTTAGACCTAGGTCTTCTACACGGCAGTCCAGAGATTCTTAACCTTTTTCCCATCTCAACACACCTGGGCACACGCTTCCATCTCACCAGTGACAGTGGTTTGCCACTACATGGAGTGAGGAAGGCAAGAAAGGTGCAGCAGACTCAATCAGAATTTGGAGGAAGGAGGCTGTTGGTAGAATTACCTAGAGCATTTGGTTAAAATGGGACCACTGAGATTAGAGTAACTAGAACTGAGTCAAAGTGCTTCTCTTACCTTGCTTTAATGACCCCTATTTACAAATTACTGCTTAGCTTAAGTTCTTATTTCTTTCTTATTAACCCGTAACCAAAACTTTTCTAAAAGTAATCTGATTATTTCTACAGCATGGTTAAACTAACATTTGTTGAAGTAATTGCTCACAAAAACTTTGTAACAACATTGCCAACTCTCAATTATATATAATAATAAAGGCATTTAAAGGGGGCAATTCCCTAATTATACATACATATCTGACTTTGGAATATCATTCGGTGAAAGAAATAGCTCCACTTTTTCTAAATGTAAACTTAGATCCAACAATTTCTTTCTACCTTGATTCTGTCCTGTCTTGGCCCCTCCGGAAATGTACTGCAAGGATCATTTTTCTCTCTCATCTCCAAATAGCCATCATTCAATTCTGGTTTCACTAATCTCAGTGGTCCCATTTAAAACAAAATTCAATGAGCAGTCTATTTTCTTCTGCCCCTCCATCTCTTTACTTGATTCCCTTTATTGACTTCATACACTGTAACAGAAACTGCCTTCTTACTGTCACCTGTAAATGACGACAATCTCAGAGTCAGATTCAAAGGTTTCTATTCCCAACTGGCCTTTTTTCCAGCTTATCTCAGTTATCATTGAAGTTTAATATCTTGACTCCTTAGAAACTTTGCTTCCTCATTCCTTATCTATGAAATCAGGATAATATCTATACCTTCCAGGACTGAGGTGAGGATTCCATGGGAAAAGGCAAGTAAAGCCCCCAGCATGAAGCCTGGTACATGAGAACCTAAGAGGTTCTTACTGTGCAGCCACTTGAAGTTAGTTGTCCTCTAACCTTGGCTCAGATTCGAGGTTGCTCTCATCTCCTAATTGCTATCTCCTCCATGCTTTTAGAGTGTCCTCTTTTCCCACTCTTCTTTCCCTCTGATTTTCTTCCATGAGCTCACCTCTTACTGTACTTCCTTCCTTTCTGAAACTGCATGCTTGGACTGACAAAAGTAACCTTCTTGAGAGACATTCCACTCCACAATTTCTACTTGTTCTAAAACACTGCACAGTCTAACCAATTCAAACATGTCACTCTACGTCTTATACTTCCCTAAGGAACTTTCATCTTCAGGATTAAATATAAACTTAGGAATTAAAACATAACGCCTCAGTCATCTGCTCTGTCCTGCTACTTCCTAATCTAGTATTACTCAGTTGGGGATAGCTGGCATACGAACATCATTTGTGCAGCTCCTACAGCAATATATCTCTATCCTATAGTCTCCATGCCCAGCTAAGTTCCCTGTGCAGTTCAGTGTATAAAATGCACTAATTTTTCTATTACCAGTCTTTCCTCAAACTCTTGTATATGTTTCTAATAACTCTTAGCACTCAATTCCTTATACCATAGCACTCTTCTCCTACTTCAAAAATCTCACACTAGGGCTAAGCAATATGGAAATACGGGATTTCTGTGAAAGAATTTCAGAAGTTTTTACTCTGCTGCATCAGATTAGCAAAATCTTGTGACTAGAGTGTCAAGACAACAGCCCAAAGGCTTGATTTTGCCATTAATTTACAGAAGACCAGAGAGGTTACAGAAACAATTAACTGGCAAAACGACTTCCATCCACAGACTGCAATCTTAAATACTATTACATGAACAAGGGAGTTATTTCTTCCTTGATCTATTACCTTTACCCTTGAAGGGTACAATATATTAGGAAAAGTCAATGATCTAAAAATAATCAGATCTGGATTTCATTCTAATATCGCTTACTGATTTTCTTTGTGACTTGAGTCAAGTCACTAGAGCATTCTGAGTCTCAACTGTCTCACTGTATACAGATCTACTGATAGATCTCACCAGGTATTGTGCTGGGCAGGGTGGGGCACACAAAGACAAGAGCACTCTCTTCACTAAACAGATCATAAACTCCTGGAGGACAACCTAGCAGACAAACACTGTGATATTAGGTAGGATGCTATACACACCACTAGGGAGGACTGAAAAGCACTATGGCATTCAAAAGATAAAATAACTTCCAGGTAAGGGGAAAAATCAGGAAAGGTAGTTGTTAAGCGAGATCTGGAAAAGGCATGTAGGGAGAACACCAACAAGAACAAAGATTGGGGAACGAGGGTGTGTTCAAGGAATGTTGAATAGTAGATTGTCAGAAACATAGAATATACAAAGGTTTCCATCTGGGGAGTGATATAATCAGAGTTAATTAAGCTGTAGTGGAATAAGATAATCTGGCTGTAGTGTATAAAATGTGGTACGGAGACCAGGAGTTGGGATACTGGTTAGGAGGCTAATGCAGTGGGGAAGTGATGATGTGACCTCATGGTATACAAAATGCAATTCATTACTATTGGTAAGCCCTGTTCCCACTAATACATTCTAACTTACTTAAGCGTAGGAGTGTTACCATTCTTTAGTATATAACTTATGTTCTAGGATGATATCATATATCCTGTAGAAACACAGGGAATACGAAGTAAAATGCCCTTCTATTACCTTAGAACACATACCTCTTCATTGGGAAGGGGTACATATTCAGTCTGTAGGGGTCTTGGAACTGAAAGGCCAGGTCCTGGCAGAGATACATTTGACAGACGTCTCTTTCTTACTCCACTACAGTTATTGGGAATCTTGAAGGCACATCGTTTATGATAATTTAATCCACAGCCTAAATATATTTTAAAACATAAAACAATAAGTAGATTTAAAAAAACTTTACTATATAAGTGTGTTACATAAAAAACAGGAGCTTCTTTCATTTAATCTATTTTCTCTAGCAGCAACTGATACCCTAATTGAGAACCCAGATGACAGGCTAAGTGCAAGCTAACAAATTCAAGAAAAAGAGGAAATATATAGAAAGGTTTAAAGTTAGCTAGAGTGGTGGTTCTTGAAGTGTGGTCCCAAAGGCATCATCAGAGAATTTGTTAGAAATGTAAAGTATCGGGCTTCACCCTAGACCTACTGAATCAGAAACTCTGGGGATGAAGGCAAGCAAAGTATGTTTTAACAGGTCCTCAAGGTAATTCTGATACATGGTAAAGTGTGAAAAACACTGGCTTTGAGGCACTTCAGCAAACTGTGGACTATGTACCAAATCCCTCCCATGATGTGAAAACTATATGGAATTCAAATTTTAGTGTTCATAAATAATTTTATTGGAAGACAGCATGCTCACTTGTTTACATCTTTTCTACGGCTACTTTCACACCACAACAGCAGAGTTTAGTTGGGACAGAGACTATAATATGACCAGCAAAACTTAAAAAAATTTACTCTCTGGCCCTTTAAGGAAAAAATTTATTAACCCTCCACCTTAAAGGATGGTTTCTTCATCAGAAACATGCACCTGCATTCTACCCCCAGTAATTCTAATTCAGGACAACTTTACTGCGGCATGTAAAAGACTAACGTTTTAAAAAGATAATTTAAAAAGATAATAAGATAAAAAGTTAATATTTATTGAGCCACTACTTTGTGCCAGGTATTTTACCCATATAACTTCATTTAACTATTTACTCTTCATGAAACCAGTGAGGTAGAGTACATTTTACAGACAGAGAAAATGATCCTCAGAGAGGCCTAGTTTAAGTTGACCTTATTCTTTCATTGATGATTAGAGAATGGAAATATGAAATTCTATTTCAAATGATACAAAAATTTAGAACACATACCTTCACATTTCAGTCCCTGACGTACCAATCCCCAGAGCATCTCACCACAATAATCACAAAAGGTAGGAGCTTTGTAAGAATGTACATAGAGAGTATGTGGACGAATCTGGAAGTCTTCTACCGTGGCCAAAGCTTTTAAAAAAGAAAAGTTTTTTTTAAAAAAACCCTTATATTTGTAATTGTGATGAGATTAAGAACGGTGACCATGTTTGCTTATGTCAAAATACAGAGTATCGTTTTTTCTCTGAAAGTTTCATCTGACCATAAAAATAAATTATTTTCAGCATTTAATACTATGGTTTTTAAACTCTATTTTAGGAAGTTCATCAGCTTCAAATAATTTGAGCTACAAAAGTAGGTCTGTAGGTACATATTTCAACCTCCAAAAGCATTTTCTCAAAGTGATAAGATTGCATACAGTTGTTGGGTCTGTTTTAAATTAAAAACTATTTAACTTACAATACACTGGAAAACAGAACACTAAAGACAAAAACAAAAAACACCCCATAAAACTTGGAACTTACCCTCAATTTATAGCAATGTTTCTGCGGTAAATGCACTGAGTTCTAACTTAAGATCCCAGCATATGCACTCTGTCTGTTCTCTATAGTCCTAGTGGTTAGGAAAAAGAGACCCCTCCCTCTGTGAGAAACTGAACAGAAGACACATCCATCAGCAGACATCCTCTCACCTAACCTGCAAGTCATTAGTGGATATTCCTGTGGCTGACGAAGGGTCCGTATCAAAGAAGGAATGGATATGAGCATGATCTCCAGGGAGGACAGGGAGTGAAGCCTCTGAGTGAAGAGGAAGTTAAGGATTGGGACGTGTATAGACGTTTGGGGTTGTGGTGTAGAAGATGAGTGATCAGTGTAAGGGCTAGATGAATGAGAAAGATCAGGGACTAACAAGAAAAGGTGATGGTCAGAGAGGATATCAATACGCTCCAAAGAAGAATCTGGAAGGGGAAAAAATGATGGCAGAACTGGACTCTTGGCTAGCTTTCCTTCTCTTCCTACCCTCTCCCCCTTACCCTCTCCTCCTCCTTTACTTCCTGCCAAACAAGAAGTTTTGCAGGCCTACTATATGCATTCTTTGTTCCTTTATACTCCTCACTAACAATCCTGCCCACCTGCTGCTGGATGAGATCAGAAACAGCAGGAGCTAAGGAACAATGAATGGCAAGACTGGGTGAGGAGGGGAAAGGCGAGAGGTAAGAAAATGCCCACTGAGTACAGAAAGGGAGGGAGCATTATTGAGGTCATGGAAATAAACAGTACTGCAGTTTCCTCTTCCACATCTTCATTACTTCTTCTTCTCTGATTTTCTTTTCTGAACCCCAATTCTCTTCTATGCTCTTCACAGAAACAGGGAAAAGGGAGCAGAATTTCAGTGTAACTGTTTTATCTCTTGACTCAAAGAAGAGTATATTCCTCTTCCAGTTCAACTGATAATTCCCTTAGCTTAGTAACATTCAAACAAGGAATGCAGGGCTTATTTTCCTACTTTCTCATCTGTGATATAACCTGCCTGAAAGTAAAAATCACATAGTAACCAATATTATAGATGAAAGAAGTGAGCAACTATAATACAAAACCTAAGCATAAGTGAAGTTGGCATTTAGTACAAAAAATAAGTCTCGGTGAAAAAAAAGGCAACAAAATTTTAAAAAGCTATTTACTTACCTGAAAGAACAACTTCTACTAGGTCTCCTTCATGTATTTCATCTGCTGAGGTAATCAGCTGCAAAATATTTTCTGAGCTCATATCATGGCGAAAGAGAAGAATTTTGTCATACATGCCAAAGAATCCACACTCTGGAAACTGCAGGAAAACAGTCCTTTATCAGTATACCCTTAGCTTTCTATTTTTATAAGTAAATGCTAAATCTTATGAAAAAAATGTAAGTGTAGTAATAATCTAAAAGATCTACCACATACTCAAGCATTCTGGTTAACTTTCAAGTTCAAAAATAGAGAAGTAAACAAATATAAATAATCACTGATTATCTTAAAACACGTCTCTTGGAAATATAAGATTTCTTTATTCAGTTATTGACGGAGAAAATAATCTTGAACTCACGTTACTCTATCTTACATATAGCCTGAGAGGGAAGCAGTCTTTCCTGTCCTCTAGAACAGAGCTTCCTATATGGTTAGCTACTAGCCACATGCAGTTATTTAAATTTAAGTTAATTTAAATGAAATTAAAAGCTTAGTTCCTCAGTCACACTAACCACATTACATGTGCTCAATCGCCAACTCAGCTTCTGGCTACCATTCTGGACAGTGCAGATATAGAACACTTCCATCATCACAGTAAATTCTATTGACTAGTGCTGGTAGAAGATCAATTCCTAAGCTACAGTCACAAGAGTACCAATTTCAACATTTTTGCCCAATGCACCTACAGCCTCTAGCATCTATCTAATATTTTCTTTAACCTACTCACTGTAATTACAAACAGATGATTCTTTACGGTACCTTTCTTTTTAAAAACCCTTTGACCAGAGTAGGAGACTTGGAGATCTGTTCACATATACCCCATGCACATTATTTCAGGGCTTCCACATTTTGTGATTACAGTGCTGAGACACTTTGGGGATTAGTACACCAAGGACTAAAATATGAAAGGTATGAGTTCTAAAATTTTTATAGTTATAATAAAGTTATTTAAGAGAAAATTTTAAGGACTTGCCTTACAAAATAACTATTTAATTTTAAAATCAATCAAAAAATAAGACCATCTTCTAAACTACCAGTGCCTTGGGAAATGCCGCTCTAGAAATTTCAAATTTGTTTAGGTAATCTCATAATTGTATACTTTCACTGACTTATTTTGGCTCATTATAGAATATCCTGTAATGAACTATATAGCATGTCACTGACCTGCACTGAATGGCCTGATATGTACCAGTAAAACTAAACTGTAATGGCATTTGTTACCGGCATGTTGCTGAGGACAGGGTGCACCCATTTCATAGGGTAGCACTTCTTTGTGAGGACTCATAAAAGAGATTTCTCTGGTTGGTTTTTATAATACGAATGATTTGATCATGTAACTAATCATGTTTTCTTGTTTACTCTGCCCACTGGAAAAACCAAAGCCAAATATGTAACCCACTTCTAGCATAAGTCTAGGGTCTTAAGGCAGGTGTTTTAGGCGCAGATACCAACCTAGCTTTATCTTATTTTCTGACCTTAATTTTCCCATTAAAAATTCTTGTATATACTGTAAATCTCTAAAAGGTCTCAAATGTTTTTTGAAAAGGTTAAATTTTTTAAAATGGTAAACGACTTAGAAATTTAAGAGTTTATTTGTATTTTTTTTAACCTGAGTAAATGATGGGAAAGTAGAAATATTTAGAATTTTTATAATACTCATTCTCCTTTCAATTACTTGAGTTACCAATAATGTTTCTAAAACTTCACAATATGCTTTAAAAATATATCCAACGGTAACAGAATTTTCAATCGAAAAGATAAGTAAAAACATAATCGAAAAATTATTTTTATCAAATTTTAATTTGAATTTTTAAATTTTATTAAATTTTATTAAGTTATTACTGAATTCAAATACATCAAATGAGGAGTAAAACATCCCCATAACTTAGCTGCAACAATTCTTAATGATTAATAAAAATGGATTCCACATTCCATCCTTATAAAAATAAAATCTCTAACAAAATATTTTTATGAACAAAATTCATTTTAAAAATTTGCATTTTTTGCATGTCTTCTAACTGCAGAGCATTGGCCCCAAGGTTTGTAAAGGTAAAACGGTCCTTGCCTTCCAGGAGCTTAAATCTAGCAGGAAGATGGAAATAAAACAAATATTATTGAACATGATAAGGGAAATGCCAAAAATAAAAAATAAAATTTTAGAAGAGAGAATAAAAAACTTTAACTGGGAAGGCAGTTTCCTGTTATATTCCTGAATAAAGTGATATTCAAGCAGAATCCTAAAAAGAGAAGCAAGGTTTTCATAGGCAGAAAGTGAAAGAGAAAGTGTAAAGGGCATCGTTGAGAAAATACAAAGTAAACGGGAGAAGGTAAGTAGACCCCGGTGACTGAAGAAGGAAGTGGAGGAGGGCTGGGTAGAAAGAGACAAAAACAGACAAACTTGACATCAGTTGAGCTGGGTTCAAGCTTTGCCACCTACTAACCATAACACCTTAGAGAGGCTCCTTAACCTCTGCACTCACTTTCTTGTCTACAAATTAGGAATAATAGGAACATTGGCTTTAGAGGGTTCTTGTGAAAATTAAATTACTTGATGGCTATAAAACACTCTACACTGTGATTGATAAATACTAGTGGTTTATATTATTCTGCATCCAAAGGGGAGAGATAAAGGGTCCCAGAGCAAGGCAGTAACACGAACAAATCTGTATTTTAAAAAGCTAATGCTAATGGCACTGTGTAGCAAGGACTGGAAGACACCAGAGCAACCTCCTGAGGGAGGCTGAAGGAATTCATCAGGAAAGAGGTATGAGGGTCTGGATTACGCAGTAAGATGGAAGCAAGACAACAAGGAACTATCTTTGATGAATTATATGGATCATTAATACTGTTTTGACCAAACAAGAAGTCCCAATAACTAAAGAACTAAATGAACACATCAATGAGAAAAGAAAAACATTAAAATAATTATGGCTTAGAAAAAATACATATAAAATAATCTTCTTGATAAACACATGACCTAATGAATTCATACTGACATTATTAAGAGACTAAAGAGCTAGTAAAAAGAATTATAGGGAGTATCAAGAATATTTATTTAAAATAAGCATTTGTGTACCAGGCTGGAAAGCCTTCAGTGATGATGACAAAGTAATTTTCTTGACTAACAAAGGTTTACAGACTAGATTTACCTATATGGTTGAGGAATTACAGAGCTCCAAGGGAGGGATAAATGTAATAACTAGGCTGTGAAAAAAAGATTTCTGCTCTTCATGATTATGATTTATAGGTGTGTTTGGTAGAATATGTAGGAACTATCTGAAAGCGAGATTCAGCACAAAACGAAGTAACAGACAATACGGCCTAAAAAAAGCAAGAGAGAGTATTAAACATTGCCACTGAACATCAGGGAAACACTGTGACCGAGCCTTAAGACATTATGAAGTCTTGGGGCATGGGTATATTAAACATCTAAAAAGAACAAACAAGGAAACAAATCATGAGCACATACTTTAAAAGATCTAAACAATTACTGAGAAAAAAATCCAAAAAGAAACACAAAACAAAATCCTGTTAATAATGATTTGAATACACAGGGATTGATTGTTTATGATTTTTAAAATTCAGAAATTAGATTTTCAAGCAGGAATGAATTCTAAGTTAATGTTTCAACTCTGGCCACAAACTAGAATCACCTGTGGAGCTTAGAACAAAAGATGCTAAGGCTCTCTTCCCAAATTTATGGTTAAGCTGTGGGGAATAGGACATGAACACCTGAATTTCAAATTTACTTTTATATTATTCAATGTATTCATTATATATGCTCTTCTTAACAAATAGACTTTAGGGCCAGCCCGGTGGTGCAGTGGTTAAGTGCACACGTTCTGCTTCTTGGCAACCCGGGATTCGCCGGTTAGGATCCTGGGTGCAGACATGGCACCGCTTGGCAAGCCATGCTGTTGTAGGCGTCCCACATATAAAGTAGAGGAAGACGGGCACGGATGTTAGCTCAGGGCCAAGCTTCCTCAGCAAAAAAGAGGAGGACTGGCAGTAGTTAGCTCAGAGCTAATCTTCCTCAAAAAAAAAAAAAAAAAAGTTTTAAGAATAGTTTTAGAGTTACAGAAAAACTGAGACAATAGTACAGAGTTCTCATACACCCCATACCCAGTTTCCCCTATTATTAACATCTTACATTACTATGGTACATTTATTGCAATTAATGAACTAATATTGGTACATTATTATTAACTAGAGTCCACATTTTACTCAGATTTCCTTAGTTTTTCCCAATGTCCTTTTTCTGTCCCAGGATCCCATCCAGGATACCACATTGCCTTTAACTGTCATGTTTCCTTGGGTCCCTTTTGGCTGTGAGTTTCTGAGACTTTGCTGGGTTTTCATAACCTTGACTGTTTTGAGGAATACTGTTCAGGTATTTTGTAGGATGTCCCACTACTGAAATCTGTCTGATATTTTTCTCATGATCAGACTGGAGTTATGGATTTTGGGGAAGAAGACCACAGAGCTAAAGTGCCATTCTCATCACATCATTATCAAATGTACCTACCATCAACATGATTTATCACTGTTGATGTAGACCTTGATCATCTGGCCGAGGGAGTGTTTGTCAAGTTTCTTCACTGCAAAGCTACCCTCCTCTCCCCGCAATACCACACTCTTTGGAAGCAAGTCACTATGCTTAGCCCACATTTAAGTAATAGCAAGTTATGTTCCCGCTCCTTGAAGACAGAGTACCTACATAAATTATTTGGAATTCTTCTGCACTGGCAATTTATCTATTTCCCCCATTCATTTATTTATTCATCCAATCACATATATCAGTATGAATGCATGGATATTTAATTTACACATTGGAATAGAATATATACTCTTTTAAAATGTAATTTATTTTTGAATAGGCAATTTATTCACATGGTTCAAAATTCTTAAAGTACAAAAGAGGTGAGTGCAAAATCTATGCTCTAGTTGCCCAGTTTCCCCACCATAGTCAATGCCAGTTTTCTCAGTACCGTTCTGAATATATTTAAACATCACCAAGTACACATGGATATCTTTCCCCTATTTTATACAAACGGTGGCACACTATAAACAGTGTTCTGCATCTTGTTCTTTTTCACTTAG